GTTTTCACACCTCTGAGCGCAGCAAGTTGCAGCGCTGTACAACGCCAGTGTAGCCAAGGCCAAAGTGTGGATTTTCAGTCTGTACCTTCCACCTCTATGCATCAAGGTTCGTGCATACCCACACCCGTATGCATACTTTTAATGCTCAAATCCCAGTGTACACAGGTGATAGAAGTTTCATATGCAAAACACATTGCCAGCACACATATATTTTACTTCACCAAGAGATAATCAGGCCCAAAAACTCGTTAAAAATGGAATTCATCTTCGTATGTTTTTTCATTCTTCACTAATTCCTATTATTCCTGATGCGTATAAAGAGACTAAGTATTTTGTAAAGCCTGTTCGCTCTTGTTATTAAAAGTTTCTTAAATTCTAGACTTTCCGTGAGTTTGATAGCGAAGGCAATGGCATTGTGCAGCCAGAGGATTTGAGAGCTGTCTTGTTCAGATTTGCCATTCCAATCACCCCAAAAGAATTTGAAAAGCTTTGGGCAAGGTAAAGTGGCTCTAAATATTAGTTCTTCAGCAACAATGTATCTATTTAACCTGACACAGGAGTCTTATTGAGGACAGTGAATTACAATTGTTTACTTTCTAAGGGAGACTTATTTTATTATGTTGATACCAGCTCACCATGATGCCATGTTCCAAAATACGGCCTTTTATCACGCTAAGATCACTATCACAATAAGGTAAATGCCTAATCAGTTCTCAATGAAGTCAGCGAGTCTAACTTCTATCGGGTTTAATGGTATTGCCTGTCCCCTTTAAATTGAGCTACCCTTTCAACTCTGATGATCACTTGGATTACAAGTAAAGTAAATTTGGTTTTCTGCTAGGACCTTATTTATATACACAGATGCCCGCCAGTTCTCCCAAATTGGCAGTCAGTTGCAGAGAGGCTTAGGACTGGAACAGCAGGAGTGTTCCAGATCAGACTGGAAGCGCACTGGTAGAGCTTTTGAAGGAAGCTTGTCTATACTATACGTCTATCTGAAGTCAATGCTATCAGCTGCTTCTTTTCATGAGACTAAATTCACTCACAAAATTTTCAACTTAAATAAAAATGATTCACTGGAAAGAAATATGATATGTAGCTAACACATAACAAAGAAAAGTAAGATTGTTTCATGCTGTGTAAAAATTGTGAGTGATACCGTGATACGTTTTTATAGACAAGTAATTTGTTGTGAAGGGGGAAAAAACACTAGCCCTATGTCAGCTGAGAGCAGTAGTACTATAAATTGTGTCTGAAACAGGAGAAGAATGTCAGATGCATGTGACATTGTATAAAATCCACCTTCATTATAAGTCTTTAAAAACACAGATTCTCTATGGTATAAGGCTCAGGTGTATAGTGTCTTGGTTTCAAACTGCATTAACTATATGGTTTATTTCCTAGCACTGATTCATCTCTGAACTATTTTCTACTTCATTACATTTTACTTTCTATTCTTATTCCTTATGGATGTCATGCCACACTACAATATGTCCCTTCCATTCAGTCATCTGCTGCACAACTTCATTCCCAACCATCACGCATTTATAGGACATAAAATCTTTTATTTACCTTCTGTGACTGTATGTAGAATAAAGGAATTGGAATAACAACAAAGCCTAAATTAGGCCTTTCCCTGCATGGGTGCACTGGAGAAGAAAGGGGTTGCACGGAGCACACCTACGGCAAGGTCTCTATCCAAAAAGGCATAAACAGTTTTAATACAGTTAGGCCCAGATTTTTAAGAGTGGCCTCTAATTTTGAGTACCTCTATTTTGAGTGCCCAACTTGATATTTAGGGCCTGATTTTTAGAAGTGTCACAACTCCTATTGAAATCAGTGGTCAGCACCTCTTGAAAGTCAGCCTCTCTGTATCTCAAGTCAGGCATCTAAAAATAAGGTACCATGAGGTAGAGAATATTTCAGTCAACTTGGTCCTTAGAGTAGAATTTTCAAAAGTGCCTAAGGATATGTCTACACTGGAAAAAAAAGCCCTGCGGCAGCGAGTCTCAGAGTCTGGGTCAACTGACTCGCACTCCTGGGGCTCGCGCCACAGGGCTAAAAATAGCAGTGGAAACATTCTCACCTCTTGGGCTGGAGCCTGGGCTCTGAGACACACCCCGCTTTCTGGATTTTACAGCCCAGGCTCTAGCCTGAGCGGGAATGTCTACACTGCCATTTTTAGTCCCGAAGCGTGAGCCCGAGGCAGCTGACCCAGGCTCTGAGCCTTACTGTTGTGGGAGGTTTTTTGCAGTGTGTAGATGTACCCCAAGTCCCATTGAAAGTCACTCTTACACACTTTTGGCATGGCATCTAAAAGGACTGAAAATCAATGAGACTTGAGCAGCTAAGTGACTTAGGCATTTTGAAAAATTTATGGTAATGCCTTGCAGTGATGAATATATGAATATTTCATTCTAAAAGAATATTTCTTTTAAAAGGTATGATACAGTTGCAAAAGGCTACCTTACTCACCAAGAATTTCTGCAGAAATTGGGGTTAGAGTTTGCACCAGCTGACACCGGACTAAGCAGACATATTGTGGAAGACAATTATGCAAGTTTAATGGAGCATTACAGTAATCAGCAAAAGAAGCATTTGGAGATGGAAGAGCAGCAGAAACAGCAAACTAAAGCCCTACATGTCAGTGAGATTAAAAAGCAGATCAAGTAAGTTATTTATCAGTTAAGTGAATAACTTTCATGCTGTGTTTATTGTTACTGTGGTAAAACGTAATGCTAAGCATACATATATGTATTTACAATCCTTCTCTGAAGATAAATCCTACTAGATACTGGGCCAAATTTATACCCAGTGTAACTTCACTGATTTCAGTGGGGATAAGTTTGACTCATTCAGTTGTTCGAGGCAATTCTAAAATATTCTCCCTGGCAGTATATCATTCATTTTGTAGAATTTATGGCCCCAATCCTGGGCTGTGTCAGAGCTACTATTGACAGAGATTGAGGGAGAAGAGCAAAGGTAGCTTTAAGCCAAGCCTCCTTTGCAGTTCTCTGATCCTAGAGGTGGCTGGGTCCCAGTAAAAATTAGAGCAGCTACGCAGCTGTATCTGACCCAAAGGGGCATTTCTGGTAGCTGGGATTGTGCGGCATGAGGACACCTTAGTCACACACCCTTCCCGATTACCATGCTCAATGCATGGAGATGGGTGGAAAGCATAAGAGCTGCTATGCTATTGGGAATCCTCCACCAGACTCGTCACCACTGGCAATTTTAAAATCAAGATTAGATGTTTTCCTAGAAGATCGACTCTAGCAATTATTCGAGGGATGTTCTATGTCTCGTGTTACACAGAAAGATGATCACAGTCATCCCTTCTGGCCTTGGAATCTATACATTTGTTAAAATAAAATGATGGCAGGGTTGTGTCTCTGGAGCAGCCACAAAAAAACTCCATAGCAGGGGCCAAAATGTGGTGCTATATAAGAGAAGCAAACAACAAACATCTTGCCTCTAAACTGGTGGAGTCCCCACTTAATTTCTATCAAACTCTATATTCTCAGAGATAAGACATCTGTCCTGGGAGATCTGGCTGACAAACAAAAAGGTAAAGCAAATGAATGCCATCTTCTCTGGTTTGACTGCTTGGAGGATTCCATCATTGCAGACTAAGTCTTTTCCTCTGGGCTGCTGCTCCTAAGGCTATGTACGCACTACAGCTTACCTCAGTATAAATTATGTCACTCAGGGGTGTAAATAAGCCACCCCCCTGAGCGATGTAAGTTACACCGACCTCAGCGCCTGTGTGGACAGTGCTATGTTAGCGGGAGAGCTACTGCTGCTTGCGGTGGCTGGAGTAATTAAGTCATGAGAGAGCTCTCTCCTGTCGGCTTAGAGTGTCTGCACTAGTAGTGCTAGAGCGGTGCAGCTGCATCAGTGCACTGTGCTGCTGCGAGCTCTTTAGTGTAGCCATAGCCTAAACTTCCTTTATTGCCACCTAACTCCGCTCCGGACTCCTTCTCTCAGGACAAGACCATCTCAGGTTTTAGCTCTCTCTACTAGAGGAGGCTATTCCCATCTCCCTTGGACTCAGAGGAGAATCTAATGATCTCCATTTGCCCCAATGAGTCTGCAGGAATTAACCTGCAGCTCCCTATAGAGTTCCAGTACTGTTAACAGAGCGAGGCAACAGGAGAATGCTGTTGCCCTCTTACAATGCCATTAAAGCTATGTATTTTCAGGTTATGGTCAATCACCACCTGGCCTCATTACTTATTTGTTTTTCCCATTTCCCCTCCCCTCCAGCCATTGGTTGTTTTGGAGAGAGAGAGAGAGAGAGAGAGAGAGAGAGTGTATAAGCTCTTGAGAGCAGAGGCCTTGCTTTATTTAGGTTAGGAAAGCATCTAGCATTTTGTGGGTGCTAACAAAGTATTATTATTAATAGTAATACTTCCTGCTCACATCATCAATGAAGGGGATGTACCCACAATAAAGTAAACCAAGACGAGCCACATTGTCTTCCAGACAAAGGGGGAGAAATCATTCTTTGCTCAGAAGGTAAACGACAATATAACAGAAAAAAAGGAGAAAAATGCTAGCTAAGCTATTGTTTCCTGCCCCTTTTTAATATATTTTACTGTGGCCCAAGCAGGAATTTAAAAATTAAGGGCAAAACTCTCCTCTCTGATCTGCACTGCAGATCTCTTTCCTGCATTGTGGATCTCTGAGTCATGTTGTGCACTCATTACGTAATGGAACTCCCATTGGCATCAGTGAAAGACTACATAATATGCCCCAGAGCTGGTCTGGCAGGTGGTGTGCTGCAATCGCTGCTTATTACACTGCCCATGACTGTCTGACTATTACCTGAAGTTCTTCTGTCATGTCCACCTGTAGTCTCTTGTCTCTTGCAAGCTCTTTTGGTCAGGGTCTGTCTCTTTGTTGTATGTTTGCCACACACAAGGGGACCTTGGCCTCTAGATGCTATTGCAATACAAATAATAAAAAAATGCTACTAATAATGAAGAGGCCCGTGCTGCAAGTCGGAGCGCTGCAGTGTGGGTCCACCGTCCAAGACAGTGATTGAAGTCATAGAGGGCCACAAAGTAATTGGGGTGTGATATTTGGACACACACCGCAACATTTGCATTGTTCTGAATCATCTCATTTTGTGATATTATCACAAAAATACCATTCGCGTTAGAAAACACACTAGGCCATTGCACTGTGATTGTTTAGTCCTCCTCTCATAGGAATTGCCATATTAGATGGAATCCCAAGATCCATCTAGTTGAGTATCCTTCCTGGGCCAGTGGCCAGAACTAGAGCCCAAATCCACAAAGGGACTTAGGCATTGTGATGCAGAGGATTTTAATGCCTAACTTCTAGGCACCTAGAAAATCACAGGAACAACACTGTGATCCAGAAAGCCTAAGTTAGGTGCCCAGGCTCCCCATACAATTCATGGGGAGACGGAGGTGCCTCAGAATGCAAACCACAAAAGCCAGCATGCTAGGCAGGGACCCTCCTAAGTTAGCCAGTGGGAGATGCTGATGAGAGTGGTGTGTCATAAACCCCACCCCTCTGAGGGAGACTGGTGCTTTAGGCCAGGCTGCTGGGAGGCACCTGTCTCTGCTAGTGATCCACAGCCAGGAGTCAGATGGCTTAGGTGCCTAAGACGTGTGCGAAGCAGTGAGACAAGCACCTAACCACCTTATAACTTTTAGCCCAGTGGGTTAAAGCACTCAGCTGGGCTGTGAGAGACCCACCTCTCCCAGGTGGGGAGAAAGGCTGTGAACAGGGATCTGCCTGCCACCTTTCAGGAGAGTGCTCTAACCACTGAGCAATGGGATATTCTGGTGTGGGGCTCCCTCAATCTCTCCTGCTAAAGCTGTTCCACCTTGGATAAATACTGAAAGAGTTGCTGGGTCATGAGAGATGACTCTATAGCCTTGTAATTAAGGCACCCTCCTAAGTGGTGGGAGACTTAGAGTCCAGTCTCCTTGCTCCAGTGACTCTTTAATTATTCATACACAATGGAACAGCTTCAACAGAGAGACTGAGGGCTATATCCCATAGCCTTGTGATTAGTGCTGGGAACCCCTGTTTAAATCCTCTCTCTGTTTTAGGCAGAGGGAGGATTGAACCTGGGTCTCCCACATCCTGCGTGAATGCTCTAACCACCAAGATCAAAGTTGCAAGGTGGGGATCACTTCATCCTCTCGCCAGATTTTGAATGGGATCTGATCTGGCAGGCAGCCTCTGAGTACACCTATTCGTTTGGGCCCACAGGTGCTCCTCTGGTTCTCTCATCTATTTTCCTCCAGTTCATGGATTGTTGTGGAGCTTGGGCAAGAGATAGGCATCCAGATGCCTAGCATGAGGCAGCAGTAGGCACGCCCAGAGGCAGAAACATAGGACTCTGGGGAACCTTTACTGCCAACTTTTAGGTGCTGAGTGAGTTTAGCTGTCCATAGGGTCAGGCAGCAGCCAAACACCAGTTTGGGGGGTTGCAGTGGTGCCTAAAACTAAATCTGGAGCTTTGGCAGCTAAATATCTTTGTGGATCTGGGTCTAGATGCTTCAGAGGAAGATGTTAGCAGCCCCTCCCTCATTAGATTTTATCCCAATTTCTAATAGCTAGAGATTGGCATAAGACCTGAAGCATGAGGTTTAATATCCCTTCTACAATTTTTGTTATTAATTATTATAACTCTGGATAGTCTTGATACCCATATAAATGTCCAGTCCCTTTTTTGAATCTTGTTATGTTCTTGGCCTCAGTGACTCCCTGTGTGCAATGAGTTCCACAGTTCAATCACAAGCAGTGTGAAAAATGTTTCCTTTATCAACCTTGAGTTTCACACCTTTTAATTTCATTTGACCATGTCCTTATTCTCTGTCGCTTTCCTTGCCTACTTCCTGACTGCCGGGAGTTATCCTCCGGTAGCAATTCCAGTCTGTTTGCTCTGCACACCCACTGGTCCTTCACATTCAGTTTGCTCTGTCTGAAAGCAAGCAGTGCAAGAAGAGTTGAACCCAGACCCCTGGATGGCTCAAGTTTTACATAGGAAGGCTGTAAGTGTCTCTTGAGCCACAGGTTGGAGTCATTGCTTTAAAAATGAAGTGCATTGTGTGTATAGACACAATGGAAGGCAGTGATCCAGCAGAACCACCAATGTTCCCCTTCATGAGAGGGTCATGGGCAGCAGAGCTGGGTACCATGCCCATTCCACCATGTTGGTCAGCATAAAGGCATTTGAAGGTGGAGGGAGGCCAGATACAATGGCTACAGGATTTAGTGGTTCCAGTGGCTACAAAATCCAACACAGATGGTATACAATGGTCCTCGCCCTTACCTCACTCCCTGAGGGTTGGGAAATGCATTCCTTCCATCTGTCCAAGCCTGGCTCAGGCTAGTTTACACAGCCCATTTACTCTGGCTTTCTGAAAGTGTTGTGAATTTCACCCTAAATTCTTTGTAGCAGTTTTAGTGCCCTGTGATTAGACACAGTAAAACTGACAAGGACTCTGAGCATCTTAACATTCAAAATATAATGCTGGATATATAATTTTTTTGGTTTTGTTTTAACTCACAGGAACAAATACCCCAAATTAGAAACAGACATTGAGCAGCAGCTCTCCAGCGCTTCAAGAGAAATACAAAACATTTGCAAGACAAGATTATTTTTTGGCAGCATAGCTGTATCCATAGTTTAAATCCTCATTTACTCAGTGCACATATTTACTGCTGCAAGTGGAATAATTACTGCTTGGAAACCATTACTCAGTCCAAGAAATGATGAATGCCTCAATTTTCTAAAAATATGAATCTCAAAAGCTGTTTTGATTTTACATCTTCCTTTACTTTCATTTTGAAGGTTTAAGTGGAAGATAATAGTGGTGATGAAGAGCTATCATTTAGCAGCATGGGTCGGAATGTAACATACCCCTGTAAAGGATTCCAAAATAATGGTGCTGTTGTGATAGATTAAGGGCCTCATGGTGCCTTTAAAGTACAGCCTTTCATTGTGGGCAGTGTGGAGCCGCACTGTCTCATGGGGAGGGATTCCTCATTGAGCACCCTTGAGGGGGTGCAGGCTGTATTAGCAGGTGGCAGCAGCCTAAAGGATTCCCTGATGCACCTACCTTGCTTTGAAGGCCAGTATGGAGACGTAGACCATACTGGCCCCCACCTCCTCCATCCAGCCTGCAGTTGTAGCTGGCCCTTAACATGTGTCAAGCAAGGCAGGAAATACTCTTAGTGCTCTCCATCCATGCACCTCTGTAAGAGCCCGCCACATTCTGACACTACATGCCTGATCGGTGTTTCATAATCTACATCTGGCCATAATTCTCATTTATTTTAAACCTTGCATTCATCTTTAGTGACTCCTCCAGCCAGTTGAGAGTCAGTGATAGGTTGTGGAGGCAGCAGTAAAGTATGGACAGGTTGGTGTTAAACTAAGAGTAAAGGGAAAGCGAGGGGTGATGCCTGGGCTCCAAAAGGTATTCAAAAGATCCCCAACTTCTGTGGGATGAAAATGACAAAATAAATGGGGGAGAAACGAGTCTTGGGTCTGAACTGATTAATCTGTGAAGAATCAGATGATGTTTTAAATACCTGGTAGCAGCTCTAATGAACTCATCCAAAGCCCAGTGAAATCACTGGGAGTTTTTCCATTGACTTCAGTCAGTTTTGGCTCTGTCCCTAAAATAGTATAGTTCTTGCTCTGATATAATAATTCCAATTAAACAGCAAGACTTTCTGTTCTTGTTAAAGTTTTATCAGCCCAATATTGCAGAGGGTAATTTGCTGGAAGTCAATTGTCATAACAGCTATATTAAACATTGTATATCTTCTTTAGGGCCAGGTTTTCAAAGAGGGATCTAGATTTTGTATCTTTAATTTTGAATGGTCAAAAGCAGGTAGTTAAACCATCTAACTAATTGATTTACAAATCCAAATGTCATTTGTACACATATATCTGGGTGGTTTAACCCCGAAATTGCTTGAGCAAATTTAAAAGTGGTTTTTGAAAATTAGACATCCTAATAATTTTTGTATCACTCTTTCGACAAATGATACCAAGTTAACAAATGCAAGGAAACTGAGATTCTTGCTCTGCCTTTTATTTTTGTATATTTGTATTTATTTTTCTAATATTTAACAGGAGAACTAAAACAAACAGCTGCTCTCTTTCAGGGATAAATTTAGGGACTACTTCCAAGACTTCAACAAGGCCTTTTATAGACTGGATAAAAATAAAGATGGCTATATAACAGTAGATGACCTACGCAGGATGCTGCAAGAATTCAACTATTATCTTGATGATGAACAGTTCACCAGTCTTCTAAACAGGTTTTTATAATTATATCATAGGTCTCTCTTTTGTCCCAAGCCAATAAAGGACTTAAGTATGCACTTTACTTTAAGAAAATAAGTAGTCTTATTAAAGCCCATGCAATTACACACATACTTAAAGGTACCCATGTGCTGAAGCGCTATGCTCGATCAAGGTTGATTCTGAGCATAAATAGGGTGGTAATTGATTTTTAGATAAAATTAAAAACAGATTAATTTACTCTGTCTTCCTCATAACATTAGTGTTGTAACAACTTAAAGGCTTTTGAAATCAAGCTGATTATTTGAGGAAATTAAGCAGATCTGAAAATAGGTCAGGTTTTTAGTGTATTTTAAAATTTGTAATTAAATTAGTAGTTTTATTTAATTAAACAAAAAAGAGTGGGAGGAAAAACCCTGCAAAACCAAAATTTAATCATATTGGGTTAAAAAGTATTAATTTTCAAATGCTACCGCTATGCAAAGGCATACATTCTGTATTGTGTCTTAATATCATCAAGTAATATCAAGAAATAGAATCTCTTTTATAAGGTCTATAGAACACAAAGGACCTGATCTAGTAGAAGATATCCATAGCTTTCTGCACTTCACAAGCCACAGAAGTGACATCCCTATGTGGCACTGCATTATGTTCTCATAACACTGTTAGACCAGACTCTTTAAAAAGAAATTACAAAATCTTTTCTCAGTTCACCTTTTGTTGAGTGATCAACTTTTTATGAATGGAAACCCTAATAAGAATCTTCTGCTTGTTTCTTCTTCAAAGACCTCTTGATGATAAACACCTCCATTCATTGTAATTTTGTTCAGATTATTCCTTTCTAGATCCAAAACAGACTTTTCTAAATAATACAGAGTAGATTAGCATTTGCATTTGGTTTTATTACTAAAATTTTAATACCAACTTGGCAATTTATTTCTCTGCTGAAATGGTGTTGATTATTTCCTTTTGCACAGCGTCTCCAGTATTGGAGCCAGCTTGACATTGGTAATATGTGGGAGTGCTGTGCAGCTGCAAGACACAAAATCAGGGCTCTTGAATGTATTTTTCTTAGTAACGGATATTGGGTCTATGGTTAATTTCTGTTCCAGCCTCTTTTTATAAAGCTTCCTTTTTGTTTAACTGGCTCTCCTCAATAATTAGACATTCTATTAAGAGGATATTCTGGTGATTGGTGGTGGTCCTTTTTACTGTGAAAAAAGATGACAAAAGTACATTACAGTAATTCACTTTCACATACAGAATATAAGATTCACCATGCTGGGTCAGACTATAGGGCAATCCACTCTGGCACTGGCAAGTTCTTGATGCTTCAGAGCATACTTTAGCCATTAAATTTCCGTAGCCAAGGGTGCAATGCTGAATGCAGGACAGAAAAAGTCCTCCCTGGCCCCTGTGGTATGAGATTTGCTTACCTCTATCAAAGCATGCATAGTGTCAACAGATGTGATTACTGGTCATAAAATTATCTAGGCCTATTAAAACTCCATGTACAGTCTCTGAGCGAGATCCTGATCTCAATTACCCCAGTGTAAATCTGGAATAATTCCAATGGGGCCAACGGATTGCACCAGGTTAAGTGAGCAGAATCTCTCTGACTGAGTTTTGATGGAAATAAATTCCATAAGCTGACTACACTGAATTTCCACTGGGGTAGCTGAGCAGAATCTGCCCTTTGATGCTATGATTTACTATGGTAATGAATTCCACAGGTTTTTTCTCTGATTGTTTTAAATCTACTTGATATCATTTAATTGAATGTTCTTGTCTGATGGGGCAGTGGAATAAATAAATAAATAAATAAATAAAATAATTCCAATCTGCTTCCCCCGACTCTTCTCCTTCCTGTACTAAACAACCCTTATTTTTGCAGTTTCTCTCCATATGTAAATCACGACTTAATTCTCATCTTATGTGGTGAAACATCCTAGAGTAAAAATGAATTTGGTTTTGTAACAAATTCCTCCGCAAAAAAACCTCAAAATCATATGTTAGAACTCCTCTTTCCCCATGCTGATATTTGACGCAAAAATGTATTCACTGTTTATACCTGGAGCTATCTATATTTAGATGTGCAGCTCACTGAATTTCTTATATGATGAAGTACAAAACTCCATAGTCTCTGTGATCTACCAGATATTACAGTTGGCAAGCAGATATTTAAAAGGTCTGAGAGGAGATTTGAGAGACTTCAGGCCAGACTCTCCAGTGCAACCTGACCATGCAATCTTAGCAGCAAATTCCCCTTGTGGAGGGGAACTCTTCATTGGTTGGAGATGGCATCTGCTGGGCCAGACATATCACCCTTCAACTCAGTGGGTGTGCCAAGGGAGGAACGGCATGTATCAGAGGAATAGTGAAGGGGAACTTCATTACACCAGTCCTCCACATCCCCCAGACACCTTATGCCAGTGGCTTAGGTTAGAGCAGCCATTATGTTGCTCTCATGGATACCAGAGCCAGGCTCGTGCAGGATCAGGAGCTGTACATTGTTCCCTGATAGCCTGCCACCCTGTGCCCAGTGGAACGCAAATGCAGGGGCCAGTCGAGCCCTTCAGTTATAAACTCAAGAAAAGCTTTGCATGGAAATTGATCTAGTTTCCTACCATGTGATTAATAGAAGGCAGTTTATCCAGTGTTTATAGCAGGAGGCCAGGAACCAGAACTCTGGATTCCATCTGCAGCTGGCACACTGTGATTTTGGGGAAGTCACTAAGGATATGTCCACACAGCAGCTGGCAGCAAGCTAGCATACTAAAAGCAGCAGTGTGGACTTTGCGGCTCGGGCAGTGGTTCATGCTCTCAAGCCCACCTGACCCCCTATGTTCGAGCTTGGGTGGCTATCCCGAGGCTTTGCTAGAGCCTCAGTGCCCACAGTGCTTTGTTTAGCGCCCGAGCTTGAGCTAGCTCAAATCTGTGTCCCTAGGCTGGGAGGCTCCCTCCCACCAGCAGTGTAGACATACCTTAGGGCTTGATTTTCAGAGATGCTGAGCAGCCACAGTTCCCACGGAAGCCCACAGGAACTGCAGGGACTCAGCACTTTTAAAAGTCAGTCCAGTAATCTCTCTTTGCCTCAGTTTCCTTTTCTGTAATACTGGGATAGCAAAACTTCATGGGATACTGTGAGATTTATGTTATACTTTAACAGCACTTTTAGATCCTGGAATGAAAGGCACTTTGCAAAGTGCAAAACTGGGGCAGGGACTATCTTTTTGTTCTGTGTTTGTACAGCACCTACCACAGTGGGGTCCTGACCCAGACCTGGGTCTCACTTCCACAATACAAATAATAATAAATTAGTAGCAGTTGTAGTAGCGATATACTTTTTTACAAAATGTTGATATACTATTCTGCTTTTTCTCTTAGTTTAGGAATCAGTATTCATGACAGCAAGCTCTCTTATTTTGATTTCCTGAGAGCGATTGATGATGGCAGAGCATCTAAATACCAGAAGAGACAAAAGCATGCTGCACCACCTGCAAGCTTTGCAATGCTCAGCTTAGAAAAGACTCTAATTAAGATAAAAGAAATAGTTACATCTTCTTATGATTTGTTATACAAGGTAGGTTACATGTGGACATAACATTTCATTTCATTTCTTTATACTTGGATGGGGACTAGCCCAGCTGTCTAGAAGCATTTCTGCTGCTAAGTGGGGTTCCCCAATCCCAGGCCAGCAAGAGTGGGGATAACTATAAAAGTAGCATGGTCGGCCCCCATCAGAGAAAGCACTTTCTATAGCATTTTTGCAGCATCAACCTGTGGTGGTTACATGATGCAGCAATGACAACTCTGCAGCATATGGCCATGTGTGCCCCCCGGTTCCCCTGTGTTAGTTTGCCCCTTCCCCCCTGCAGCCTGCCTCACCCACTACCTGCTTTGATCCTTTCTGTTAGTTTGCCTGCCTGTTAGTATTTGTTACCTGTCCTGGGCTTTGGTTAGGTTGCCTGCCCTGCCCTTACCCTTGTAGTTCCCTCCTGAGATTTGCCTGGCCCCTTGTTTTTTCCTCTGCCCTCCCTTGCCCCCCTCCAGTTCGGTCCTTCTTACCCATGCGCCCATGCCCCCTCCGTAAGCGCTTGTGCCCCCTTTTAGTTGTGCCCCCACCACTGTTCACAGCCTCCCCACTGATATTGTAGTCCCTCTCTTTCCCAGTGCAGCCAGAGGAGCCAGTATCCCTACCCGGTACCTGTGCCCCCTTTTGCCCCTGGATACCCTGCCGCTGGCGCCCTCCTCCCCTGCCTGCAGCCTCGCGGGAAGGAGCGATTGCTTCTTCCCTTTCCCCCGGTTCCCCCTGTTGTTCCCTGCCCACTGGTGCCCTCCTTCCCTGTACACAGCTTAACAGGGAGGAGTGGTTAGCCACGTTCCCTCTCCCCCATTCCCCATGCATACCCCACCGCTGGACCCTCCTCCCCTGCATATTGCTTAGCAGGGAGGAGTGGCTGCCTATCACCTCACCCCCATGTTAGGGCCTCCCCTTGCCACCATGGAGGAGGACCCTGCTCCTGCCCCTGTCCCAACACCTGCTTCGACCCTCAGCCCTGCTCCTGTCCCTGCCCCTGCTGACCCTGTGGTTCCCCCATTGCCACCGCCCCTGCCCACCCCAGCGGCTGACCTCTCGGCCACCACTAGCCGACTCTGCCGCTGCCAGGGCCGCCTCTTCCACAGGCAGAAAGGGCCAGGGGAATATAAAGGGCAAAGGCCCTGCCTGGAAACCGAAACCTCCTGCCGGCAGGGCCACGGTCCCTGCTGCGGCTCCGACACCTGCCGCGGCCCCTCCTTGCCCTGCCGTTCCTGCCACAAGCTCTGGGGGCGTTCCATCTCAAGCCCCCAGAGCGTACGCCCAGGTGGCTGCCGCCCCTCCACAAGCCACCGCGCCATCCGCCCCAACTGCTGCCTCCGGTACCATCCCTGGTGGCCGGGGCCCCTTCCCCTCGATGACCAGGAGGCACGGCGTCTGCTGCCTCCTGGTGCCCGCCGCGCCCCACGTCAAAACATACGTGCAGGCGCTGGCGAGGGTGGTGAGGCCGATGGCTGTCGTGGCAGCCTCCAAAATGTATGACAAGGTCGTCTTCTTCCTTGCCTCGGAGGCCGCCGCGCAGGAGGCGGTGGAGAAGGGCCTGGCGGTAGGGGGCGTGTTTGTTCCCTTGGAACCTCTGGAGGACCTGGGCATCCGGGTGGTGTTGACCTCCGTCCCACCCTTCCTTCCCAATGCTGCCCTGTTGCCTGTCCTCTCCACCCTGGGGAAGCCCATTTCCATCATCAGCCCTCTCCCGCTGGGCTGTAAGGACCCCGCCCTCCGTCACGTCCTGTCCTTCCGCCAGAAGGTCCAGATCCAACTACCACCAGCGGCACGTGATGGAGTGGTGCTCGAGGGGTCCTTCCTGGTGCCCTACCAGGGGGCCCATTACCGGGTCCATTATACGGCAGGGGAGGCCCGGTGCTTCCTCTGCCAGGCGACGGGGCACGTCCGGAGGGACTGTCCCCTGGCCCGGCACGGAAGGGCATCCGGAAGCCCCGAGTCCGGGGAGGGCGCCAGCCTTGTCATCGCCGGTGACCCTGGTGGCCTGGCTACCGCTGCTGCTGCCCCTCCTCCTGCCACAGGGACGGCTGAGCGGGCGGGCCTCGCCTCCATCGGTTGCAGTTCAGCGGGGCCCACGGAGGAGAGGGCGAGACCCCTGCCGGCCGAAGGAGAGGGCCCACCCCAGGGAGAGGTTTCCTTCCCCCTGCTGTCCCGCCCGTGCCGCCCCGAGCCCCGAAACCTTCGCCCTTGCCCTCTGGCCCTGCCCCCGCTGACCGGCCCTCCACCTTCACTTCCACCTTGGAGGGCTGGGTGCTCGTCCAGGGGAAGCGCGGCGCCCACAAATCAAAGGCTCAATCCCTCCCCTCCGATGAGGAGGGAGAGGAGGCCCCCCAAAAGATGCTGCGGGGGCCCCCACCAAATGAATTAGGTATGTGTAAATTGTGAACCTATAGAACTTTGACTAGGACTATATTCCTTTCAAATTTGTACAAAACATTTACATATGTAAAATCAATGTTTATATATTCAACTGCATATTTCTATTGTAAAACAAAACAAGGGGGCAAAGATAAAGTTGGGTGAGTGGTTGTTAGTTGAGTGGAGTCACAGTGCTCCACACACAGTGGCTCCCCTACACTCCAGTATCCACTCTCACTGCACCAGTTGCTTACAGCATTTGATGCCTCTTCTGGTTCTTTGCACTCTCTTCAGTGTCTGCTTCTGAAGCAGAATTCAGTCTAATACATTTCCTGTGGAAAGAGTCTTTGGGAACTCATAGGGTTGCCACCTCTAAAGTACAAAAAACTGGAACATCCGAGAAGATCCTGTGCCTATAAAACTGGACAGATGACAGTGTGTACTGAGCACCCTTCCAGATTTCCGAGGACAGTTACCTTCAAAAAAGGAATGAAACTAGGAAAACCTGGACAGATGGCAACCCTAATGCCTGGAAGAGCAAGAATGTGGAAACCAAGATGAGAGGTTATTTGCTCACAGGTTGACCTCTGCATCTCCAAGAGATACTGAGAATGGAGATCTTTCCCACAGAGTGCTTTGGATGGGGGAGAATGGAAAAAGGGAACATTAGCTTAGCCAGTCAAAAGTTTCCATCTGCTGGGAGAAAGGAAACAAACTAGTATGCACAGCCAGCTCAAATTTTCTCTATGGGGGAACTCTACAGGGGGTGGATGTCTGAAACATTTTTGTTTGTATCCTTTCTTGTTTGGCTGATAAGAATTCATGTTAACTTGTACCTGGGCTGTATATTTGGGCATCCAAGCAATCAAATATAAAATGTCTATCTGTTCTCACTGAATGCTTAATTTTTGGAAGAGTCTATTGATTGGAGAAAAAATTATTTATTTAATACACAAAAATATAGGATAAATTTGGTTGATTTTTAAACTTGCTGGATCTCAAGACAATGATAAACTTTTCATTTCCAGTGGGGTTTCAATAAAATCGTAAACTTCTTTCATTTCTTCACATCTAAAATACCTGCAGATAAGAGGAATACATATCACATATGCCTTTATCTTTACAATGTAGCCATCCAGTAACGGCCATGCTAAAGATAAATCTCTTCTGAAATATTCAGTGTTTTTAAAGTAACATTCCTTTTTGCTTTCTCAGGCATTTTCTCTGTTTGATAAAGAAGGCACTGGGGCAATTAAAGCACTGGAATTCCGCCAGGTACTTGACCATTTCTGCTTTAAACTATCGGACAGGCAATTCAGGCACCTACTCAAGAAGCTAAGGATTTATGAAAATCATACAATAGACTGGAAATTTTTCCTGAAAAATATCAATCTCCTCTTAGAGGTAAGTCTAGCTATCAAGCTGTAAGCTGTTTCTTTTAAAAATGAACTCAAATGCCTTAAAATGAATGAATTCAATAAGCTTGCTAATTCTAAATAAATGGTCAGGTGCAGCTTCTCCCATCCAATATCTCTTGCAGTCAATGGGCTGTTGGGAATTTCTGTTGAGTAAGCAATGAGTAAGGACAAGTGAATAGGGTCTCTCATATAAGAAAGAACATTCATTAGAATTAGCAAATTATGGCATTGATTCTGCAAGTTACTCCATGGGAACAGAGGGCTTTGCTAGAATAGAGTAACTAGTAAGGAGGGGGAATTACAGAAAGATGACTGATTTGGGGTCTTGAACAGGCTTATTTAAATCATTCATTTTTTCAGTGATTAATCCAATGTTTTACTCTGAACAAATGTATTAAAATGGGAGTGGAATGTATACACACAGAGGGCCAAATTCAGAGGTGAGTTTAATAAGTATAAAGGAAATTTCAATTGGTGAAATTTACAACTTCTGACACCCTCAATGAGTGTGTTACACAAACTTAGCCTCACTCAAGATTCACTTACATTTAATTGTGGTCCAGTCATGTTATCTGACACTTAGACTCCACTGAAGTTAATGGGACTCTACACAGACGTAGGACGAGGACCTTGATTTATACTCACACCCACTGAACAATTTGGAACCTCCCTGTCCCCCCCCCCACCCAAATGTAGGAATTAAGAGCAGGTAAAGACGGTATACAGAGGTTTCCATTCTATTTAATTTCCACATTCCTACATCTTCTTCCAGTTGCTTTGCATGTCCTACCATAGACTCCCTTATAGAATGATAAATGGCTGTAAGTAAGTCTGAGTGCAAGGGAGGCTAAATTATGCCCCTTTGCAGTTCACTTCTAAATTTGGCCAAGAAAATCAAAAACTATTTGTATCAGTTAATATAGTAGTCCTTAAACAAAATAGAATAACTTGCATCTTATGCCTTAAAAAGCAGCGACTGTTTTATTTGCAAAATATATGCTTGCAGGACAATAAAATGAAAAAAAAATTGTCATCCAATGGAAAACCATATAAAAAGCCTTTTTACTTTATTACCATGGCAATAATAGAATGTTGTGCAAAACAAATTCATACAGAACTATATGGTAATTAAATATTATGTCATAATGTAGCAACTGAAAAACCAATGAGATTTCTACGTTGTGTCTGTTTATATTCCAAATCAAAAAGTCTGTTAGGCATTAAAGAATAGCAGGATTAGTTTCTTTCTTAAGAGGAAGAAAAGAACTGCAATTTTCAAATGAAGGAGAACCCACAAACAGCTTCAAAATGTTTGTAATATGTATATGTCAGTTGTCAATAGGATATTTAGATTCACTCTAGGGTTTATAGTTTAACACATTTTACTGTCTGTAAATTTAGCATTTACATTTATAGTATTGTGTCTGTTACTCTGTCCGTAATGGCATGAAAAGCTTAGTTAAGTATGGGTAGAGTAAAAGTAGTTTTAATTACAGTTCTTTAAAAAAATAAGATTTTTAAATATTTACATTTTCAGCATATTAGCAAAATGATATCCTAACTATCTGGGGTTCTCAGATTTGATACATTTGTGTTCATGTATGCATAGAATTAAAACACCTTATTCACACCTCTGTTAATCCAGACCCAATAATGTATTAGTTTTACGAGTGTATTTGTATGCAGCAATAATGGTCCTTTAGCAAGCTTTAACATTAGATAACTATTTTTGATACCTAGGGTTGTTTCTGGTATATCTTGAGCCTCCAAGGGGCCACCCTCCTTAACTCATGTTGAAAAAGCTCAGCACCTCACAGGATCAGGCCCTTAACAAGACTAATTCTGCATCAGAAACTTCTTTAGTGCTGAATCTTTCAAGATGCTGAGTAACTCCTGGAAGTTGCTACGCCAATTACTTCAGCAGGAAATTAAGATGCTCAATATCTTGCTGGAGGTGCTTAGTGTTTCACAAGATTGAACCTTAAATTGCTTCTGTTTGAACAGCATTTTTTTCCTCAGTGAATCAATATTTTTCTGGCACTTGAATGTGCTGTGTGTGGGATAGATGAGATAAAACCATCAGTAAAATTCCAAATCTCTCCAGATGGGAGAATTTTGTTTAAAAGTAATATGAACCAGATCCTTAGTATCAGCTTCTAGATCCCATCAAATCTGATGTTTTCAATTTGAGTTCAAATGAAAATTCTGTTCCTTTGCAATTTCATCCCGCTGTGGGCCCACACTCATATCTGGGCTGGAGCACAAGTTGCAAGGGGAGGCTGATCATTAAACTATTCACCTCTTCCAAATATGCAATAATTTTGACTTTTAAAGTATGTAGCTAAATTAATGAGGTATGCAGCTCATTCAATCACATTATGAAATCTTATTATGTTATACAACTTGATCACTGAAATATATGCAAAAGTAAGTAGTAAAGTATTCAGCTTGATCATTAGAGTATGGAAAATTTACTGAACTAGTAAAATATGGGCCTGGGATGACTTTTGTCTCAAATGGCACCTCATAAATAAAACCCTCAACCACCAAGGCAAACATTTACAAGCCCAGAAGCTATACAGGTTTAAGATATATTTTATGCTTAGAAAACTGCTGAATAAGAGGAGGTGAGAACATCTTGGGGAAATTATTTCAAAATTTTATTCATCGTTAGGGTCTTTGGATGGTTTTGATGTATGCTAATGAGATTTATATTCTGATTAATTCTCTATAATACAAACAACAATAGGTCTGATCTAATGTAGATGAGTGAGATGTCAACTGAATCAGAGTTTTCTGTAGAGGTGCATGAGTATACTGTCAAAAATAAGATTAAAGAAATGTAAAGCATTTTAAGCACTATGACTGAAGTGTGATAAAGATAAGGAGGTGAGAGAGAATTCTGATTGGCTCATTTACCTCTGATATTACTAAGCAACTACCTAAAGTGAGCGGATGGTACAGCAATAACTGAGAAAGAGGTCACATTTTATGTTGTGATACTGCTAACAAACGAAGAACATGTCTTCGGGCCTTTAGTAAAGTGTCAAGACCAGTGGACTATTTACCACTGTGGGCACATACGCAGCTCTCTATGTGTTACGTGAGCCGTGTCCACACAATATGTATACTACCTGAACATCTACAAAAAAGAAGGTTTAGTATTTGTTATATGATAGCAACGTGAATCAAATCAATATAGTAACTTTCATTTCAGCACTGGCAAATGTCTACCAAGAGCATTTTAAATTAGCAAAATAAGACAAAACATTAACTGTTAAAATTAATTAATTGTTAATTAATTTGCTGCCAGGGTGGTGTGGCTGGGCTGAGCACCCAGAGAGCATGGCTGCGGAGTCTGCCTGCAAAGATGGGGAGACCTACCCATTGTGGTGTGCCATCCCCACAGCCAGAGACTACACCAGGCACCCAGACACCCAGGAACCCAGCCCCTCCGATCCCCCCAGCTAGGAACTGTCTCCCAGCCCTTCCTCAAACTGCCCCCCTAGCCAGGGAATGCCCCCCATCACCCAACCCCCCCTGGGATTGTCCCCCCAGCATCCAGATCTCCACACATGCCTGCCCAGCAGAGACAGGATACCTTGTCCACAGCAGAACAGCTCCCCTAGGGACTTCCCCCTCCAGGATCCAGTCCCCCACCCAGGGACTGCCCCCCGGCAACTCCCCCAGCACCCCCCCACCCCAAGGACTGGCTCCTAGCACTCAACTTCTCCATCCATGGACTTTGCCCCAGTATCTAGTTCCCCCATCCAGGGACTGCCACCAGTCCCATCCCCCCCCAAATCTGTGCCCCATGCACCGGCTGCACCCATCTCCATGCAGTCCTAGCCCCCTGCACCTCCTCCCTTCACCCCCCATGACCCTAGCCCCCTGTACCTCCCTCCCCTCCCCCGCTGGCCTCCTACCTCGGCTGCAGGTAGATCAGCCGTGCAGCCCACCCTGCTCCCCTGCTGCTGCAGTCCTAGTGCCGGGAGCCTGCTCCAGCCGGGGTCACTGGACTGGCAGAGTGTGGGGGCACTGAGCACCCTGGCCTCCTGCCAATGCTGCTGGGCCCAATCCTGCCAGGGGAGGGTTGATCCTGGTGGGCCTGATCCTGCTAGGGGAGGGTGCTGATGCTGGGCCCAATCCTGCATCACCCCATTTTTGCACCCTCATGCCAGCTCTGTGCCTGGGGCAAGTGCCCCTTCCACCCCACCCTAGTTACAGCCCTGAGGATGTCACATGGGCCTCAGCTGTGTGCTGATTGGGCTGCCTGCAGGCTGTGGGTTGAGAACCATTGGTCTAGACCATGGAGCAGCTGAGGATATGCTCCACGACTCCTTCTGTGCTGGCCTGCCAGTCTCAGGGCTAATAGGGCCAGGTTGGAGCTCCCCTACATTAGAAGAAGGGAGTAATGCACCATTCAGGATTTACCTCATGGGAACTTCATTTGAACAAGATCAGGCCCTGGATAAAATATATGAAGATCTGCTGAAGTAGTAAAGTGATTTGCAGGGAGGAAAAGTGAAAACATATATAAGAATGGCCGTACTGGGTCAGATCAAAGGTCCAGCTAGCCTTAATCTCACTCAGTGTTTTTACCTGTATGGAAGATTTCTAAAAGTTCACCCCTCTTACCTTGATGACCCTTTTAAAGCTGGCCGGCAGAATGTTGGGCCTTGAGGATTCCAGGACAGGTGGAGGTGACTGACAGGGTCCGCATAAGAGATTTCACTACCCATAAGGCAGGAAAAGAAGAGGAGAGAGGTTATGAAAGAGCTAGAAAGAGAGATTCAGGGGCAACAAGCAGGGTTCACAATGGACGGAGAGGGGAGACAGAGAAATGCTGGAGAAGAGAGGGAGAATCTGGAGGGAAGAGTTGCACAGCTATAAAAACTATCTCTGGACAAACCCAAAAAACTACTTTTTTAAAGGGGGTTTATGCTGGTGTAACTTGGAAGTTACACCAGTATAATGAGGTTAATGGAGTGGTGAAACAGGTATATTAATCCTATGCATACATAAACACAAAGGTATGAGATTTGAGAACCATCTAGTCTATCATGTTAGTTCAGATATTGTTTTGTGACCAAATGACCTTGACCTCTGGGCAATAGCCCTTGTTCAGAGGACCTGTGTAGTGCTTAGGAAGACAGAATTCTTCCCTACGACCCCCAACAGGTCAGGGCTTCTGCAATTAGCTACTCCACTGGCTCTGGGGCTTCCTTTCCTGGCAACATTGGCACTCACAAGGTTTATCTTCATTGTGGCAGCCTCCATTCCCCCAGACCTCCTTAAAGAGCCAGGGGGTTCTCCAGGGTTGAGAGGCCACTGCGGGAGAGTTAGTACAACCTCAGATTGCATGAACATTCCAGTGGCATTCCTACAAGCTGCTAAGTGAGGCAAAGCTCATCTTCCACCTACCTACAATTTCACCCCCTGCCTGCCCAACACCTCCATATTCTTATCCTGAACCTCTAGATAGCCCTTAGTGGTCAAAAAACATAGTAGAGGTTGCTGATCCCCCTCCTTTTACAGGTGCAGATCATTGTGACATGATCTAGCCCATAGTAAATGCTTTGAAAATGGATTAAGAGCAAAATTTGACTAATATTGTTATTTAATTCCATAATTATTTTAGTTAAACTTATAGGAAGTTGGGGTTCTCTTACCTCAGGTGAGAGAGGAGTTCAGGGACACCTCCATCAGAGGATGAGGAATGAGATAAGGGCTGATTAGCCCAAACCTATTAATATGTTCTTCTTATGTAAAAATATTTTAGGCACTCAGCTGATTGTGTGTAAATCTCATTAATTTAAAAAGGGATTGTACACATTTACTGTAATGGAGGGCAGGATTGGGCCCATAGTCAATTATTTCCCCTATTTTAAAGTCTCTAGTATAATGGTTGTGTTTCTTTTATATCTGATCTGCCATAGTAGTAATACTGCATCCAGACATTGCTAAGCTGGAATGTGTAGGTGGGTGTCAGTGCAAGTGGGTTCAAAACAAGTGTATGAGGTGCATAAAACTTTCATTTTCAGTGTATCACTTTCAAATCTGTCACACTGTTAACCCTTGGTACATATTACTATATCTAAACTCCTATTCAGATCAGTAGCATTCTGCAAGCTGAAAATCTACACTGTGGCGTAGATATAGTGGAAGACTGATGCATAGTAATAAAACACACCAAACATGTATTTGGAGTAGCCAGTTTTCAGAGTAAATAACTGCTGTGTTTTGTTATTTATTTATGAACAACAGAATACAGAAGTCCATTTTGCTGCCAAAGAGTTACATTTTCAAAAAGTTAAAATTAATTAAAACTGTGCAGCTAAAATCCTATTCAACACTTTCAAATTTTACCTCTAAAAAGCAGCAGCAAACTTCAGTTTTTAGATGAAGCCAAGTCTTCTTTATAAATTCAGTTTCAGCGACTACAAAATATGGAGTTATATTTAAAATAATTGAATTATTTTTAAAGAGGAAATACTTTGTTTTCAGGGTTACATGCCAAGCTTCAATCCAGTGCAATTTCTAAACTCTTGAAAGCAGGATTTTCATAACACAAATGACAACTGACTTTACTATAGCTATGCTAGCAAGTACTGCTAATATAAAAAAAAGCTATTATAAACACTTCCATTTTTAATTCAAGGACATTTCTTAAAAATATGTTAAATGTTAGTATTTTATTTTATACATTTATAAGTTTAAAAGTACAAGTTTTGCTACTCTAAGCAATACTAAATACCAAGAAAAGAAACAGATGGCTTTTGGTCTTATACTCTAGTTTCCTTGTCACTTCTCACATGATCATTATAACTGAATGGAAAAGAAAATAGGTTTCTTCCATAACTACAAGAAACCTGTCACCTAATCAGAAAAGACACCACTATCTTCAGATGCAAATAACACTTTTTCAATATTAACCACACTTTACATAAAATGTACCCCCAGGATAAGAATTACAGCTGTATTATTAAGAGAAGAAATATGAGAAGTGGAATTATGCATGCAGACACTGAATCGAGTCCATGCTGCTGTTAGGGAATGAAGACTGCCAGGCATTATACAATAGATCTTTCTAGGTTTCTAACATTCTGAAAACGGCAAAGCACTGCACTTCTGTTTTTAATTATTGTAATAAGGCAAAGGACATTATTAGTAAAAATCTAACTGTTTGGGAGTGTTTGAGAGTGACACATTTTGGAAGGCTAGCTTTCCTTATTTATTTCAAGAACTTTCATGTAATTTTGTTTTACATAAGACTCGATCCATCTTAATGTTAAGGAAAATTAGAATAACAGCAACAAAAAAGAGGGCTACTAAATCTGTTTGCAAAGCTCACACTGACAACTGGAAAATCTGAAAAAATTACAACTTAATGCACCAGCTATGACAATCTATAATAAACATCTCATTGTCCCACCTTGAACACATCTAAATGCTTTATACAGTGGAGTTGTGGTCCAATGCTTAAAAAATTGGACTGGGAGTCAGGAGTCCTGGATACTTTTCCTAGCTCTCCCACTAACTTGTGTGATTTCAGTAAGTCTCTTAACCTTTCTGTAACTGAGTTTACCCAACTGTATAAAAGGGGATAATAGAGAGCAGCTGTGCAGCATAGTTCATATCAGTAATATGCTTTTGGATTATTAATGAAAAGTGCTAGATAGGAACAAGCACTATTTTGTATACTGATTTGCCACTATTAATTGCAGTTTGCTTCACGAACCTCCTCTGGGATTTCAGAGCCCAAGCCCGGACCCAGGAGCTCTGCAGATTGCATGGATTCTGCAGCCCAGAAAACTCCTAAGGAGGAAGCACCGCTCTAGGGCACCCATGAAGCACGTACATGGGCTGCCAAATTCTTTCCTAGATACTGGAGTAGCAGGGCCCACATGATTGTCTCATATAGCAGTCAGATGCTGGGAAGGTGCTGAGCATGGACAGTGCCTCTCCGATATCCAGAAAGACATGGGTGCTTCACTGGCTTTCCTAAAGGAATCTGGGGGAACTTTAAAGAATGTGTATGGGCCAAAGACAGTGTCTTTTCACCCTAACCACTGAGGCAATGAACTTTGCACACCGAGCTAACTTTTACTAGCATTGAGCATACCATTGTACAGTTTACAGAGTCTGAGGGTCTTACGTGCCCTAGAGATCCATGATAACTGGGATCAAGATTGGTCTGTCAGTTACTACAACAAAATGCATCGTTCTATTAATTTGTGGGAAGAGTGCTTTTCAATAAGATGTGTGGGAGCAGCTGAGTTAGCTGTCTAGGCTTGTAATTGGATGGAAATGCTTGTGTATTAGTGCTCAAATGACCAGCAAAGCATTCTCCACCTCATCTGATAGCAAATTTTGATTTTAGGACTATGTTTAAAAGATTCCATGGTTACATAAAAAGTTTTAATCTTGTATTTTATCACTCGATTACAGTGGGGGCCAGATCCTCAGCTGATGTCAACCAGTATAGCTACATTAACTGAGGATCTGACCCATGGTTTGCCCACAAAAGCATACAGTAATAAATACAATGATATATACAAGATGGAAACTCTATCTAGGGTTATTCTGCAATATACCTTTTTTCTTTTGACCAATTTTTTACAGCAGACATGGTTTCAAGTTTATAGGTTACTTTTTCAAGATAAAGTATTATCAAGAATGTTTAGAATTCATAACGGGATGTTGTAGTTTGTACCCAGTGGCACCTCCATCAGAGGTTGAGGGATATGCTACCCTAAGCTCAGACATTTTTTTAGACCTCTGTAAAACTCAGCTTTGAATTTCTTTGCTTTTATTGGCTTAAGTTTCACCCTTTATGTTATGTCAATTTAGATTTTTGTTTTTTAACATGACCCTTTTTCTCTTTCATGGTATATGCGAGCATTACTTGGAATAGATTGAACTATATGGCTGCCTTCTCCATAGACTTTCCCCACTATGACTGGCTGCAGGCCGCACCATGATTTATAATTTATTCTGTGAATCCATCACTGATTTTGTGTGTATGTTCTGTCTAGACTGAGGAAGGGCAGAAAGTCGCTCAGCCTAAATCTTCTCAGGAGCTGTCAAAGAAAGATATCCTTACACGTATACAAGAAGTAGTGACTGCTCGCTTTAACACCATTGCACGAGAGTTTAAAGATATCGATTGTGAGAAAGTTAATACAGTATCAAAAGAGGACTTCCGGGGTATTTGCAACCGTCAGTTTCTGCTTCTGACAGATGAACAAGTAAGAAAAGTATTGATTATTTAAGTGTACAACTAACTAGATTGGCATAGAGTATAGGGATGTGTGTGTATACATGCTAGTGTATATATGCAAGTAACCTGATATTTTTGGTGCAAAACAAAACGGATTGGAGAATATTATTTCATAAATATTTATTGCTGCAATTATGAGGGATTGCTTTTTCAATAATATCTTAGTATGTATGTGAACTACAATAATTGCAAGCTCCCTAAAGGTAAGCAGTACGTAGTGCATCAACCAATCAATATTAAGATACCAGCAGAATAAATTCAAATGTCAGTTGCACAAATCTTTAGGCACACTCTTAGGCCTACAGTCCTGGTGAGGATTCTGTCTGTCTTTGTTGCATAACCATTCATTTCTGGTCCCTCAACAGGATCTCCACTGGTTAAATTCTGTTCTCAGATATACAGCGCAGCTTTCATTGAAGTCAGCGGGAATAGCACGCGTGTAGCTGAAAGGAGAACTTGGTCCATTGGGTCCAGTTTTTCCCTAAAATATATGGTCACAACTTCTATTGATTTAAGTGGAAGTTACACACATTTATACAAGGGAAAATTGGGCTCCAAGTCTACTTTTTTCTTTTGCATCTTCTGACCATTTTTAAAGCTTTCTATGTGCCAGATCCTGCAAGCCAGGTTGGAAGTCAAAACAGCTTGGTCTAAGGGTCAGATTCTCAGCTGGTGTAAGGAGGCAGAGCTCCAGTTAAGGCAATGGAGCTATATCAGTTTACACCAGCTGAGGATCTGGCTGTAAGTGTTTTATTCAAAGGACTTTATTAGGTCTAGACTATACACTGGTGCACAAGATGGGGAGAGGATGTAAGAAATCCTCCATCCTTGTGCCCTGTGCAGTGTCTGGATACAGTAGTAGTCTTTACATCTCCCTGAGCCAAGGACTTCTCAAGTCCAGTTGTATTGCTGTGCTCACATCAGCCATCATACAGATTAGCTGAGTTGACTGGGTCATGGAGAGACAGAGACTTTATCCTCTGCAACGGCCTTGCTTTCCAAGGGACATTGAATACATTGTATCTATCGGAGCCACAAGGACTCCAGGAGTTTCTGCTCAAGTGGCAAGTTTCTGCCCTGCTCCCTACAAAACCTGCACACAGTTTGACTGAAGAGCTTATCCCATCTTGATTCCATTAAATTCCTGTACTTCCATATCAACAGAGAAATCTGTAAAAGTCCTTTTATCATTTGTGATTTTTGTTTGCCAGGAGGTTTTTTTCTCTTGGACAGATACCCTCTTGGCCACTGTATTTTCCAACATTTGCTTGACTGCTTCAGTGAATATTTTTTCAGATGCAAGATGTGCTTTTGATAGCCCCCGATTCAGAACTGTATTCCATAGGACCACCTGCTGCACTGACTTACTGTTGCCAAAGTAACTACAGTTCACCCACTTCATAGACAGCTGAGTTCCTTGCAATTTTTCAGTTCTCTGACTCTTCATATTCGCATATGTTGAATAACCATATTTCTTGTTCTTGAGAATGACTCAAGAGTAGTCAGATTACTTCTGTAGGCACTGGCTAGGAGATCAGCTGCTAGAGGAAACTATGTCAGCAAATTCATCCATGCTGTCTGGCAGTGGTACACAGGGACTCCTTCATTTTCTTTATAGTAGTCTTCATAAGTGTCTTCTGTCATTTGCTTGTGATAATAACTTTACTGTCTGACTGAGCTTCCAGAGGAAACTTCACCAGCATCAGTCAGCAAGGGAGAAAACTAACAATCGGGAAAAGACAAATAAAAGTTGAAAGTCTTCTAATACCAAGACTTATTGGCACAGTTCAGCAGCTCCATGCTAACCTCTTTTGGATGGACACTGCTGCAGATTCTTCTTTGGATTGTACTGAAGTTCCCAATGAAATGATAAGTGATTTGTAAACAGAAAACCATCTAGTCGCTGGCCATGTTCCTGATCATACAGGCCCCCGAGCTATCGTGTTTTCAGTGAGATCTGGTCAAGGGTCTTGATCTGGGTTCCTTGCAGATGGGGTATGCTGCTATGTCTGATCTTCAATCCCCTCTGCTGAGGTGCATTGGCTGGGGTGTCGTGTGAGGTTTTGCTCTAGGTTCTTTGGCACCTGCTTGGAGTGCCCTTGGTTCATTGGTTCTCTGAAGTTGGAACTGGTGCTCTTTATCCTGCTGTCATGCAGGATAAAGGTACTGCAGGTACTTGCAGTTTTCTGTTGCTGCTTCTTTCAGACTGATTGTTTTCTTGTACTATTGATCTGTCTGTATCCATCAGTTGTCTCTTGTCATATACTTTAGATTGTAAACTCTTTGGGACAGGGACTGTCTTTTTGTTCTGTGTTTGGCCAGTGCCTAGCCCAATGGGATCCTGAGCCATGACTGGGCCTCCTACGCATTATGATAACACAAATAATAAATAACAACAGAGGCAGGCATAAGAGTTAGTTGCTGGCTGGTTGCTAAGCAACTAATCTTCTTTCTCAGCAGCTGTTTGGTCTCTCATCCTCCTGGGGCAAAGGAAGTGACAGTGGTTTGGAGCTTCTCTCTAGGAAATCTCCTCCACTGCTCAGCTACATCGCTAAAGCTCCCACTGGATCAGCTGCAGCCTCCGTGGAGCTTTTTATGCCCTGACTGCAGCTTGAATTTGGCAAGAATGACTCTGATTAGCCTGCAGTGCTGAGACAATGGAATCCAGCCCCTCACCCTCCTCCCAGATTCTATATCTGCTAAACCAAATGTGGATAGTGCTGCAGCTTCCTTGGCTGGAGTTATCGTTATTCTGTCAGAATGGGATGTCTGCCCCCAAAGGCAGGGTGGGTAGAAAAATAGAAGGCAGCCTGAGCAGAGATGTCAGTAGCTCAGCAACTGTCCAACATTCCTGCTTCACAAGAGCAGCCATGTCATGATGCGACAACCTGAAAAATGTGGATCCTCTAAACAATAAAGAGTTCCTCACTGCTTTCTACAAAGTGTCCCGAGTGACTTTTTTCGTAGCAGATACATTCATGGATTTCCAAGTCCCCGCATTTCACAGCTAGACTCCAAACTGTGGCCGAGACTGTGGCCCTATGGCATAAATTTGATCTAGTTGGTACTATTGAAGTCTAGTGGGATGACTTGGATGATTGGAATGTTAAAATAATGGTTATAACCTATTTAGGAAGGATTGAATGGGAAAAATGGGAGGAGGAGTGGCTCTTTATGTCAACAATGGCATTATCTGTTTCCATGTTACTGGTAGCTCAGAAGAAATTGTCTTAAATGCTTATGGATTAATGTCCTAGAGATAAAGCACAAGATGGGAATGAGTTGGTGTCTGCTACAGACCACCAGATGACACTAGGAAACAGGAAAACTGACTTCTCACACACTTATCTATAATGTATAGGGGAAAAGGCTGTATGATCTTGGGGAACTTCAGGTAGAGTAACATATGCTGGATGTCTCAGGCCTCCAGTACTAAAACATCCTTGGAGTTTCTAAATGTTCTAGATGACAATTTCCTAACTCAAAAAGGGGGGATTCTATATTAGATCTTGCCTTGACAGACAAGGAGGAACTGATCACAGAATTAAAAATTAATGGCAGGTTAGATATGAGTGATCACGACTTGATCATACTTATAATGTGCAAACAGAATAAAGTCCAGACCAGAACTGTCTCTACTTGGTGCTTTAAAAGGGCCAATTTCACAAAGCTGAAAACAATTGTGAGCCAAATTAGCTGGGAGGAAGAATTTAAACAGAAAAATGTGAATGATAAGAGGGAATTGTTTACGGACACTTTACTAGATGCTCCAAAAGCCACAATCCAACAATGGAGGAAATAATACGTTATAAACGGAAGAAAGGGGAAGTTGATAGTAATGAACATAAGTCAGAAGCTAGGAATTATAGACAATTGAAAAGGAAAGCAAAGGGACACAAGAAGATATCAATGGCCAACAGAGTTGATGACACCAAGAAGGTTTTTAAGTATACTAGGAACAAAAAGAATCCCAACAATGGTATTGGTCCTTTACTAGATGGAAATGGTAAAATTATCAATAATAATGCAGAAAAGGCAGAAGTGTTGTATAAATATTTTTCTTCTGTATGTGAGAAAAAAACAGATGATGTAGTCATATTATATGAGAACACTTTCCATTCCATCTCAGGAGGATGTTAAACAGCAGTTACTAACGTTAGACGTGTTTGAATCAGCAGGTAACTATCATCCAGATAACGATCATTGGAATAATGGGGAAGACTGGAAGAAACCTAATATTGTGCCAGTATTTAAAAAGTATAAATGGGATGACCTGGGTAATTATAGGTAAGGCTACAATTTAATCACAGAGGTTGTGGAAGTCACGGAATCCGTGACTTCCAATGACCTCCGTGACTTCAGCCTGTGATGGTCGGGAGCCTGGGGTTTCCCCCGCTGCACACGGGGGCAGGGAGCTCCAGAGTACCACAGGTGGTGGGGGTACCCTACAGCTCCTGGCTGCCGCCGGTGGCAGAGGAACCCCCGAGCGCTGGCTGCCGCGGGTGGCAGGGGAACCCCCAAGCTCCTGGGCAGTGAGGGAACCCCTGAGCTTCCAGCTGCCACAGGTGTGGGGGGGGGAACCCCCGAGCTCCCAGCCACTGCGGGCCCCCAGAGCTGCAGGAGTTACCCAGCAGCTCCTGGCCACTGCAGCTGGCGGGGGGACCCCTTGGAGCTGAGGGCAGCAGAGATACCCTGCAGCCCCCAGCTGCTGCAAGCGGTGGGGACCCCCACAGCTCCTAGCTGCTGTGCAGGTGCCCTGCAGATCCCCATTTTGTCACAGATATTTTTAGTAAAAGTCATGGACAGATCACAGCTTCTGTGAATTTTTCTTTATTGCCCTGACCTGCCTGTGACTTTTACTAAAAATATCCGTGACAAAATCTTAGCCTTAATTATAGGCCTGTCAGTCTGACATCGATCCCAGGCAGGATAATGGAGCAGCTGATACAAGACTGAATTAATAAAGAATTAAAGGAGGGTAATATAATTAATGCCAATCAACATGGGTTTATGGGAAATAAATTCTGTGAAACAACTTGTAATATCAAGTTTGGATGACAAAAGTAATAGTGTTGATGTAATACTTAGACTACTGTGAGGCATTTGACTGTGCCCTGGACAACATTTTGATTTAAAAACCTAGAATGATATAAAATTAATATGACTTATGAAATGAGCCAGGAACATCAACCCCAGAGGAAAGTCTTGACAGAAAATCCAAAACACTTCTTCATTCCAAGTAAAACTCTCAACACAACAGCTAAAGAATGGGCCTAAAACCAGACACTAGGTTGGGAGGGAGAATGGGCAGCGCCCAGAATCAAGGTATGAAGTATTTCACTTTCCCTTTTTAGGAGCAAAAAGCCTCCCCTCTTCACCTGAAGAGTCCTCCAGCTTGGATTCCATAGTCTTTAGAGTAAAAAAGCAGTCAAGGGGCATGGTAGCTGTTTTACAGCTAATAAAGCTCAATAAGCAGATGACAAAATAAAAATAATGGGATGGAAACTCTGCCATCCATGATAGCAACTAGCAGGGTGGGCCTGATTCTCATTTACACAAAGGCCCCTTTATACTGCCAGATATTATGTAAGAAAGAATCAAGCTCTGTCTCTTCAGGTGATATTTTGATGTTGACAGGTCCTGCAAAGCCATGCGTACATACATCTATATGATGTTGCCATGGCAGATCTTTCCAATCTGTATACAGCAATTTCTGCTCCTAATACAAGACCCTGCTGTTAAGGCTGTTATTGCTCAAAGTCTTTACTCAAGTGTTACTAATGGTCATTGCCAGGATAGAGACACAAAGGACCTCACCGTTATCCCTTTCTGGATGATGCCCAACTTTTAATTACATTAGAAAGGCTCAGTTGGAATCCATGTAACACTATAGATCAGAGGTGGGCAAACTACGGCCCGCGGGCCACATCCGACCCGCAGGACTGTCCTGCTTGGCCCCTGAGGTCCCGGCTGGGGAGGCTTGGTCCCGGCCCCTCCCCCGCAGCCTCAGCTCGCTGCGCCGCCAGCGCTCTGGCACACCATTCCTGCTGGGCAGCGGGGCGGCGTGGCTGGCTCCAGCATGGTAAGGGGGCGGGAAAGGGGGGTACTGGGATGCAGTCAGGGGACAGGGAGCAGTTGGCTGGGGCGGAGGTTCTGGGGAGGCGGTCAGGGAATGGCAAACGGGGGCTGGATAGGCGTGGGAGTCCCGGGGGCCTGTCAGGGGGCAGGGGTGTGGATAGGGGTTGGGGCAATCAGGGGACAGGAAGCAGGGTGGGTTGGATGGGTCAGGGGTTCTGGGGGGGGGCAGTCAGGGAGCAGGGGGCAGTTGGATAGGCATGGGAGTCCCAGGGGTCCTGTCAGGGGTGTGGATAGAGGTCGGGGTAGTCAGGGGACAGGGAGAAAGAGGGGTTGGATAGGGGGTGGGGTCCCGGGGGCCAGTTAGGGGCAGGAAGTCCTGGGAGGGGACGGTCAGGGGACAAGGAGCAAGGGGGGTTGGATGGGTCGGGGATTTTGAGGGCGGCAGTCACGAGGCGGGAAGTGGGAGGGGGCGAATAGGGGGACGGGGGCCAGGCTGTTTGGGGAGGCACAGCCTCCCCTACCCGGCCCTCCTTCCCTACCCCTATATGGCCCTCGGGCCAAAAAGTTTGCCCACCCCTGTTATAAATGGAGTATTTCATATTAAAAATAAGTTTCACATGGTCTGGTCATTCTTAGTGAAGCAATGGAAAAATCAAGACTCTGTTGTCATGGACCGTTTTGTAAAAGTAGAGGGCTTAGCCATGGTGCTATTGCCAAATTCCAGGCAGGTATTTATAGTGTATATACCTAAAACTCTCTCCCTCCTTTTCTACAGTTTCCATTGTATGAACATTCTGCTTCTTCTCTTCTTGAACTCAACCGTTGCTATATGCCATCCCAAAAGTGGCTGTAATATTTAATGTTTGTAAAGCACTTCGAGATCCTCAAATGAAATGTGAAGAATTTTTTTTTTTTTTAATAATTCATGACATGGTAGCAGCCAGGCCAATGGGGGAAAGTTGAAAGAACGTTCAAAATATACGTTTGCCCTTTGAAGTTTGACTGCAAGCTTGCCATATCCATCAAAGCCCTATGGGTGACTAGCTTCCTTGAGGGTATACATTTCTGCTGAAAAAAAGTTTAAGTCAAGAGCAGTTTAAGTTTCACAATTTGATTATATTTAGAAAAAAAATCAGAAATGAAGGCTTTAAAAGGAGTGCTACTGCCTACTGAAGCGTGGTTTAGTATGACTCATTTGACTGTGAAGTGTGATACCCTTACTTACATTGATTAGTAGTTTATACCATGAGTAGTCCCATTTAAGTCAATGGAACTACTTGTGGAATAAAGTACTATTCAGTGTGGATAAGTGCATTGCAGTCTGGCCCTTAGAATTCTGTAAGTTGCCATTGGGCCAGATTCTTTATTATTATTTGATTGTGGTAGTACCTAGGAGCCTTAGTCATGGATCAGACCCCATTGAGCTCACAACTTGGGGTCTGATCAGAGAACAAAAAGAGACCTGCCGCAAAGAGCTTGCAATCTGAGTATAAGACAAGAGACAACAGATGAATACAGATAGACTAGAGCAGGGGTCGGCAACGTTTGGTACGCGGCTCGCCAGGGTAAGCACCGCGGCCAGTGGGGGCTGCGATCGGCCAAACCTGCCACGTCAGCAGGTAAATAAACTGGCCCAGCCCGCCAGGGTGCTTACCCTGGTGAGCCGCGTGCCAAACGTTGCCGACCCCTGGACTAGAGAATACAAGGAAACAATGAGATGGTATTGGTCAGCATGCAAGGCAATGGTATCAGAATAACAGCAGCCCGTTATTTTTTTTAGTCAGCATCACAGAAATGGAAAGTTTTAAGGATAGTTTTGCAGCTGTTTATGGGAAGCTCCTCTCAATATATGGGGCAGCATGGGAGAAACCACAAGTTGCCTGTTTGAAAATTTAACAAATGGACCATAGATGTTGACTTAATGGGTCTGTCAAAGGCAGGTGTGATGTCTCAATAATGAATGAGAGATGATGGGTGGGGTGAAGGGCCTTCAGAGTGAAGACAAATAGCATTTTTTGGTATGACAGAAAAGACAGAACCAGTGGGAAGATGTAAAGTGACAGGCTAGGAACATGTCCTTTGCAGCAGCATTCTGAATTAATATGAGTAGGGCAAGATTTGATTGGTCAATGCCAGAGAGAAGGATGTTGCAGTAATCAAGAGGTGAGATGGACAAGAGTGTGTGTGGATGGATAGGAAAGGCTATATCTTAGAGATGATATGCAGAGAGAATTTGCCAGATGTAGATATAGCCTGGATGTGAGGATCTAGAGAGAGGGCCAAGTCAAAGATGACACCCAGGTTTTGGTCCTTGGTGACTGGCAGGATAGTGGTGTTATCCACAGTGATCAGGAAAGGAGATGGGGGAGTCTATGAGGTGAAAGATCAAGAGTTCTGTTTTAGCCATGGTGAGCCCGAGTTGATGGCTAGACATTCATGAGGACTTGTGAGAAAGGCTGAAATGTTAGTTTTGACAGAAAGAGACAAGTCTGGAATATAGAGGTAGTTCAACTAACTTACTGTACCAGTAATCCCATTGGAATCAATGGGACCATTCATGCATGAATAATAAGAGTCAAGGGTGCTGGAATAATTTGTATAGTGGTGGTGCTGAGAGCCACTGAACCAAATTGTAAACCCTGTATATGATAAAAACCACTTCAAGCTAGGGTGTGCAACAGCACCCCCAGCACGCTTAGTTCCAGCACCTATGATAAGGGTATCTGAATCTGGCCCCATCTCTTCTGAAGTAATACTGTGTATTATACTGATGCAGTTCATGACACTATATTTTAACTATATAAGGGTGTAAAAGGCTGTAAAGTTTTCCTACGGCATTCATTTAAGTTTTGCAATGAGACATTTTTGCCCTCAGAGTGAAATAAAATTGTTGATGCAAATACAATAACTGAAAAATCTGAACAGCCTGTTGAGATGTTAGTAGAATTTAGGTGCACCTGATAGAATGAGAAACTTGCTTCATGGTACTTAGACAGGATGCAGGTGCATCGTGCATTTGATTTACATTTTCTGTTAAAGCATTCTTATATACTGTAGCTCAGTCACTGTGTCTAATCAGAAGGTTTAATGGTCTTAAACAGCTCACTAAGGGCCCAGTTCAATTAAAAAATGTCCTACAGAAATCCCTTTTTCATTGTTTTCCCAGACTTACACAGACTTCTGCAGAGAAGCTGTAAATTTTTTTATTAACTTAGGCCCTAGGATTCCTGTCATTCCAAGTCACTTTCAACAATGTCTTTAACAGTCTTAGTACATAATATACTTTTCCAGCTAGCATTTACAAAAATGATCTTTTGCTTCTCCATTAGTTTGAAAACCTCTGGAATACAGTGCCTGTTGATGCCGATGGAAGACTGAAGTACTGTGATTTTTTGAAGAAATTCAACTCCGAAGTAGTGACAATGCCATCAGATACTCCATCCACAAACAATGCTCCATGTTCCTCCAAGCCCACTACCCCTGCTGAGCCTGGGTCAGGGTTACCTTCTCAACCTTCACGTCCCAAGACAGCATCTTCTCCATTAGGTCAAGTAAAAGTAGGTGTTTGATCACTTAAGGACTTTTCTAGGTTTTCACGTTTATTAAGGGCCTGATCCAATACCAATAGAAGTAAATGAAAATATTCCCATTGACTTCACTGGGCATCAGATCAGGTCCAAATGTCTGTTGATAAGAAGCTTTGGCACTTAGCAGAGAATTTGGGATGATAAAAAAATGGACTTGATCCTCGGTAGATATAAACTGAGTAGCTCAATTGAAACCAATGGTGTTATGCTGTTTATACCTGCTGAGGATCTTGGCCATTGTCCTACTAACTCACAAATGAGTCATATTGCAAATAAATACCTGTTATTTAACATAGGACAGTCACATTTGTGGGAACAAAGTAAACAGGCCCAGCCATAAAAGCTCAGATGCTGAAAAAGCAACATAAAAAATGTAAGATTTTTACCTGTAGGTCACCAGCCCAAGCTAGTATTGACCAAAAGTTATTAACCTCTGATAGCTGTTAGGCAGTGTGACGGGGTGGACTGGCCCCGCACTGGGCCTGAGAGAGTTAACCCTTCCCTGCTGGCAGAGGAAGCCACTCCCCTGAGGCTCTGCTGGGCATGCTCCAACCGGGAGTCAAGCATAAAAGCCTGCAGAACCGCTCAGTCAGGGCTGGTGGCTGGGGAAGGAGGATGCCCAGCAGAAGCTCTGGCCCAGGAGCAGTTGCAACCTTTCCAGGAGGGAGCTGAGGAGCCAGGAAGCAGGCCCAGAGACTGGCAGCTGTGGGAACCCCAGGGAGCATCGGGTGCTGAGGAACCTGGAGACCCTGATGCCACAAGGACTGCTACGTTTGGAGGACTGGTAGGAAGTTACTCAGGGAAAGGAGTGGTATCTCCCACCACTCTGAGGGCAGCGTGTTGCAGTAGGATTCCCTGCTGACCCGTGGCTGATCACGCCATCACTGACAGGGCCCTGGGTCAGAGCCCGGTGAAGGCAGGTGGGTCTGGGCTCCCCTACTGGGGGTCTCTAACCCCCCTCCCTTTTTGGGGGATGACAGTTCACTGACCCCTCTCTCTCACCCCAAAGGAGGTAGATGAACTCCGGCCGCTGGGCCACGCTATCCCCCGAGGGGAAGAATTTAGAGAGACTCTGGCCACTAGGCTGCACTATCCTGCTGGGCAAAGAGAGTGTAGAGAGACTCTGGCCATTGGGCCCCACTGCTTTAGGAGTGCACTACAGGGACTCTGGCCACTGGGGAAGGCGGATTTGAGGGACTCTGGACATTGGGCCATACAGCCCTGACTACCGGGGAGGTAGTAAGACTGACGTAGATGCAGGGAGGCGGGGTTAACCTTGCCCCCCCCCCCCTTGAATCAAAGGGGTTGATGAGGTACAAAACCCACCACAGGCAGTCTCTAGGAAATGTATTGGTGGTCTGAGTCCAGTTTTTGGTGAATGTTTACCTGGGTCACAAAATTTACCATCACAATTGTCAGCCTTCTCTTCAGACTCAGCACGGAGGCCAAAGACTGAATAGACAGAGGGACTAACCTGGCCCCATCTCCCATTTTGGTTAGAAGCACCTTGACAGGGCAATGTAGGGGAGTTTTTCCACTACAGCTTTCCAGGACTGCAGTCTCCTGGAATATCTCTCTGGCATCTCTCCCAAGCACTAACATTCATAGAAGATAGAATGAAAGAGTTAGCCAATATTCCTCCTGACAGTTTGAATCTCTTGGCTGTATATTCTTCTAGTCAGCAGCTTATAAATTCTTCAGTGCTTGGAAAAAATGATTCATATTACTGCTGACTATACTTAGATGTTTAGCTGTTGAAAAAGCGGTAGCCAATTGAATAGATTTAAAGATGCAACAAACTTCCCACAGTTGGTAAGTCTAAAAGCATTGGCCTGTTGTGAACTTGATTATTGATCTGTAAGTCCTTGCATTGGAGAGGCCTGACAGTTGGTCACATGCTTCATTTTTGACTAAGGGATTGATCAAATTCCCACTGAAGTCAACGGAACTTTCCTCATTAACTTCAGTGGGAATTGGATCTGGACCCAGAAAGATCATAGAAGAGGAGCACAGGCCCCCCCCAAATGCGCATCTCTGGAACAGCCCTAGCTCAACCTCATCACCATGCATCTCCCTAAAAGTGCCCTCGTGGCTGTGCATAAAAGGGGTGTGGGGATCATGGCCAAGATTTATGATGCAAGCCTGAGATCTGCAAGAATACACAGCAAAGACCCAGTGAATATTGCATTATACTCTGGCTCCCTTCACAAATGTCAGTGCAGCTCACACCATACTGCTAAAGGCTGAGGGCTTACAAGCCCATGCTTAATCCCTCATTCTCAGAATGAATCATAAATTCTACTGAGTAAGGAACCTACTACAAAGAATAATTGTTCCCCTTCTCCTGGTCACACCCTCTTCTGCTGCTGAGGAGAGCTCCCCTGTGGTGATCTCCGAAGGGAAAGAGGTGGTTGGAGAATGTACAGGGAACATACTCTGTACCCTTCCAATTCTTTTCTGTTAGAATGGGGCTTTACTGTTCCTCTCCAGCCTAAAGAGAGGGGAATATATGATCACATTATAGGTAGGCTTGGCAGAATTCGTTTTTTTTTTTTTTGGTAATTGACAGATAATATTGATGTTTATTTTTAAGCATTTTTGACATCTATTGATTTAGATTTTCACAGTTGTGGGAAATTATAGGGAGAACATACAAAGCGAAGGGTCAGACAGCAGTTATTTATGACAGTAGATTTTGAGATTTTAAAAGTTAGTTTTATAACCATTAAAACACAAATTGTCAACACTACATGTTGAAATCTACAAAATAAATATCCCTATATCAAACTCTATTAAATTCTCAAGCCGCATTTTTTTTTTTACTTTGCCTGTCTGTAAATTTCAGTTATAATCTATGAAAATATTTTTGTTGGGTTATGTGTATATGGTGAAATCGTTGTTTACTGACATTTACTGATAAAAATCGAATACTGTCAAGCCTAATTATAAGGTTCTTGTACTTACTGTTAAAATTTATAGTAAGCAAATTAGTATACTTGCTTTAAATTGTCAGTATCCAAGAACTTGTGCATTGATCTATTTATTGTGAGATTGACATCAAATTACATATCTTTTAAAAACAAATATATCTGCCACTTAAGGAACAATAGGTTCAAGGGGGAATATATACAACTGAGCTATGAGTTGAGTAGACTCAAGAAATTACAGACAGAAAAACACTCGGTAGATTCAAGGTAGATCAATTTCCAGCCTACTAATATGTTCATCCAAGTAGAAGCATTTTTACTTTAATGCTGACACAAATCAGATCATAAATAAGGATGCATGAGGTATGCTAAAGTTCTGAAGCACTAGAACTGGGATTTTTTTAGTGTCTTGTCTATCTAAATATTCAAATTTGCCTGTTACTTTAGACTCCAATGTCCAGCCGGCCTCGTACTGCAATGGCATGGTCCCCACCTTTACTGAACTGCGAACCAATAGAAAATAAAATAAGAAAGATCATTCAACATTCCTGGAGAGAAATACTGAAAGACTGTAGAGAAAAGGATGTTGACCGACTAGGAGAAATCTCAACATCCGATTTCTTAGGTTTGTTGCCATCTGAAAATTGTGTTCCCTCATGTTAAAATGTGCTCCAGTTTCTTTCTAGGTGCCAATCTATGGGAAAACACTGCCCTCAACAAGTGGTATCAGCTGCATGAGTGATCCAATTCTGTAATGCAGAATTGCTCAAGTGAGGTTTGGGGGAATGCACTACTAGGCAGACTTTGCTGCTCATTTGAAAGGGAGAGCATGGTTTTAGCTGGTGTTTGCTACACAGCATAGCATATGTACTGGAAGACTGGCCACACTCCCCAGTAGAATACTCCCTTGTGGAGCTGGGGAGTGATAGTAAGTACAGGCCCCGGACCTTTTCTCTAGCGCTCCCTCAAGTGGTCCTATTGAAGTGAATGACAAGACTTTTATATATTTCAATGGGAGCAGAATTTCATTCTTAGATAGGTTTGCTGCTCTTCTGCTGTGGAGTCGTGGGGGGACAATTCTCTGTGCCCTCTTTCCCCAATCAGGGTATCTGCATGGACAGGACAGACTTTTTGCCTATATAATATCATATAGATTCGTATACCATTCGTATAGGAACAGTTACAGCTCAACTAATATTGGGCTTATTTCTTGCGCTGTCTTTAAAGCTCATTAAAGTTTTATCACTTACCTGTTATCCTGCTAAATGGAATTGTTTCCTCCACCTTCCCCCCCCTATGTATAGCAGGATCCAGATAATCCATTTATGTGACAGTCACTGGAACTGGTGGCCTGTCAACATATCCCTAATAACTAGTCAATCTGAATTTTGTTTTGATACAAAAGTCACCTATTTGCAAGGATAGCAAATTTGACTATCATTTGTTATTTCTGTGTTTCTTTCAGCCATAGCAGAGAAGTTCAGTTTGGATTTAAGTAAAGAAGAGATTAGCCAAATAGCAACAAAATACGACATTAAGAACAATGACAAATTTGCATACTGTGACTTTCTCCAAAGCTGTGTCCTATTAATGAAACCACAAGAAAGTTCATTGCTACAAAGGATGATCATTCAGAAGCCACGAATACCGGTACATTCAGGGGTTTGTCTAACTGTTTCTGGATAGTTTCTGATGCAGAAAGAGAGTATTTTAGGGCCTGAGGCTATAGTCATTGTATGCATAGAATGCCAGTGACTTTCCATGGAATCCAGTTACTTCAGTTGACTTATTTTATTCATGTGGTATTTACTTTAGTCAGAGCATCTTCAGAATCAGGCCCTGCATGTCCGGTTCATAGTACAATCTAGATACAGTTTAATTAATTATCAGCAATTGACCATATCTGTAAACTTTTTAAAAAATGTGGTGAGGGGTATAAGAAAGACCTAGAGGAAGACAGTTTGGGCTGATGAGTTTCAGGGTTAGATTCTGTCTGAAGGCAACAAAGTGGGGGGTACTGTCAGGAAGATGGTTACTCCCAGAGTCTCTGCTTCAGCCCAGCCCAGCTCAGTCAGAGCGGAGAGCAGCTCTAATCTGTGCCTCTTGTCAATGGTCTCAATCTGCCAGATGGGGATAGTCAGTATGCATTCCACTCTGTCTACTCTTCCTGATCTGCATCCCCACCACCAGCACACGTGCTTCCAACGTGCCGCTTGTACAGATACAGGGAAGAGAGATGCATAGAACCTCACTGTTCCCAGCTGGGAATCCCCCCCAGGAAAGTTACAGGCTGTTTAACAGGCAATGGCACCCCCTGGTATATCTGGCTTTATAGGAACTATCAATCGTTCATTATCAGTATGGAAACTAAGGTAAAACTATCACCTTTTGCTTCAGACAATTTCAGATTTGTCACATGACGTTCCCTTTATGCACAGATTTGAAACTGTGAAATTCTGTCTCGGAGCTTGGGATGGATAGAGCCATAATTTGAGCCCTTGTCTAGTATCATTTTCTATTTATTCATTTAAGTTTATAAAGTATAATGAAGAGTCCATCCCATCTTCTGGGCACCTTTACATAAAGTAATTTTCACAATAATTTTTTTTATAAGAGGTTGCTCCACCCACTCCACTGTATACAAATTCACACCAATAGGCATAATAATAATAAAAAACCTTTCCACGACAGGAACAATAATAAAAATATCCTGTGGGTCTCAACCCCCTCCTTTCCTCAAAAGCCAAATAAAGTTTGCAGGCAACAGAGACTCGGGGATTGTAAATAAGAGGACAGGTCACTAATACAGAGTGATCTGAATTGGTTGGTAAACTGGTCTTAAGCAAACAATCTGAGTTTTTTAATATGGCTAAATGTAAAAGTATACATTGAGCTACAATTTAAGAATGTAGGCCATATTTTCAAGATGGGGGGACACTGTCCTCAGAAGCAGTTATTCTGAAGATTTGGGGTGGTGATGGATAATCAGTTGAAAATGCTGAAAATCAGTGCAATGCTGTGGCCAAAAGGACTAATGCAATCCTTGGATGCATAAACTGGGGAATATCAAGTAGGAGAAAGGTAAAATAACCTTGCATTTGGCACTGGTGTGACCACTGCTAGAATACCATGTCCAGGTGTGGTGTCCACAATTCAAGAAGCATATTGATAAATTGGAGAGGTTCAGAAAAAAGCCATGAGAATGATTGAAGGACTAGGAAACATGCCTTATAATGATAGATTCAAGGAGTTCACTCTATTTATCTTAACAGAGAAGAACCTACATGGAGAATATCAATTTGATAATAGGCTCTTCAGTCTAGCAGCAAATGGCTGCAAGTTGAAGCTAAACACTTCAGACTGGAAAGAAGGTGTAAATTTTTAAGTGAGAGTAATTAACCATCGGCACAATTTACCAACGATTGTGGTGGATACTGCATCACTGGCCATCTTAAAATCAACAGTGGGTTTTTTAAAAACCAAGATATGGTCTAGTTCAAAAGGAATTGTTTTGGGGACGTTCTACTGTCTATATTATACAGGATATCAGACAGATGATCACCATGGTCCCTTCTGGCTTTAGAATCTATGAGAAGCTGGGCCTCTAGCTCCCATGGAGACATGCAGACTCTGAGCTACAGAGAACAGTCTGGGTCCCTACAGCCAAGGTGAAGGGCTCTCTTTATACTGTAAAAGAGGGTCCACAGGGGCCCTCACAATAGTTGACAGAAGTTTACATTAGGCAGCTGAGTTAGTCATGATTGGACAGCAAATTCTTCCTTGGCTCTAGACTTCCTGAGATTAAGGTGAATTTCACGCTCGGTGCTCAGGGCATTGCTCCAGCTGCCCACACCACTTCAGCCCCACATAGCAGCGGTATGGTGCTGTCTGTGCATTCTCTGCATGCTGTGATAGAACTGGAGTTTCCAGTACCCTGTGCAGCATACATGAAGCAACTGCCCACTGGCTGGAATAACAGCTGGGTGGGGGGGCAAACAGCAGCCCCTACCAAAGTCAAAAACAACAAGAGGCAATAAATACTCCCCCAGTTATTCCCATACTAGATTTCGACTGTCCTGCCCCAGCTATTTCAACTATAGAACTGTTCAGAACCTGGTTACAAGAAATATTATGTAAGTGGTTTTTTTACCCTCCTACTGTACTCTGCTAATTCATTGGCAAAATTTGAATATGAAAACTTGCAACCTGAACAGTGAATTTTCCAAAGAGTTAAGTAACTGAAAACAGAGGCTTGGAAGGGGAGCAGCTGTGACTTTAATTGCTGCTTCTCTGTAACATGTATAAAAACACTGAGGCCTTTGTTTACAAAAAAAAAATCTGATAAAGAATTACATTAATTTTACAAACACAGATTTTGGGCTTTGGTGCTTAAGTGTTTCAACTTCACCTGCTGAAGAATATTAAAAGGTGAAGAGAATCTAATAGCATTTATTCTGCACCAGAATTTCACTGTAACACCTTTACATTTCAGCATATGACTGCACTCATCTACCATGTTCTTTATATTAACACATGCCCGTCTTTCTCCCGCACCTGCTCCACTTTGCTAGAGGAGTCCTGGACCGCAGAGCCTGACATTTTTCAATGCAATGCTAAGAATTCAACCCCAGATCTTGCACTGCTGGAGACCGATGAGACGAACGTTTAAATCCTATGATGAAAGTGGGAGCGGGCTGTTAAGTGTTCAGGATTTCAGGCAGGTAAATTGCATTTACTAATCTAGAACTAACAAACTGAAAACCAAAGTCTCTAAATAATCTTACTGAAGCAGTTTCTAAAATCATGGCAACTATACATTTGCAGACTTGTTTCCTGTGACATTATTATTATTATTATTATTATTATTGTTAGCACTTAGTATTAATCACCCTCTTTCCAATGCATATGCAAGCGCACAACTTCTTTCACACCAGAACTGAGAAAAGTGGGCTTCACAAGCCTGGGAGGGAGAAAGGGAAGCAGGTTGATGAGAAGAAATGCTTTCTACTATGCCTCTGTGCAGTCACTACTACAGCCTCAGGATTCCAGTGACCCACCAGCTGGTATGTTCGCTTATGAAGGGGGAAGTAGCCTTGCGTACTCCTCCTCATCATAAGGCAGCCTAGCTGGAGTGCCATCCTGTTGCAGGCTACAGTTTGACAGGTACACCTGTCTCAGTTTCCCCTTCAAGTCCCCCAAAACAGCCCAGAGTGTCTTTTTTAGTGCAAATGGCCCTTGTGGGTTAGTTTGTTACAGGAAATAAAACTCCATACACATAATCCCAACACTGTAATCCAGGCTATACATTAAATACAGCACCAGGACTCCTCACCACAACCCAGCTCTCCAGCACAGCCCTCTCTGGCCCAGTGGCTTCAGTTCTGACTCCAAGAGCCTTTAGGTATCACCCTCTCCTGCTCTTAGCCTTCATCCCTCTCCAGCCTTCCCTGGCTCAGGATAGACAACTAAGTAGCCCCTCCACTGGCTCTGCCCTGGTCAAGAAGCCCCTCCTAGCCCTCAGCCCTGGTCATGTCTCCTAGCACTGGCTCTGCCTATCTGAAAAGTCAGCAGGTTAGCCTCTCCAGTAACTTCATAAGAATTCCTCCCTCCTTCCCAAGAGGGCCTACTGAAAGTCTTCTACTCACTATAGCTTTTCCTAGAAACCACCTTTACCAGTCTCCTGGCTTCTCCTATCTACCTCTTACTCACTAGGTTTCTTGCTGATCTTTTATTGCTCCCAGGTGCTGCCACACACCTTTAATTAGCCAAACTGGGAGCACCTGTTCTGGCACAAGGCCACTGGATCTGCTTCACTTACAGGAGCCAGACATCCTTGTATAGTTGGAATGACTCTAGCCCCTCTTTCTGCCCCTGTCCTTGCCAGTGGAACACAGATCTGTAGTACATAGGGATACGTATCCTCTGCATGAGCTTCTTTGATCCAGCACCTTGCCAAACAGCAGAACCACACCTTTTTCAGTGTCTGCAAGTCTGCTCCTCACCTGCAGTGCCTTACAGCACTGTGAGGCCAGGGATTACTGCTGTACTCCTGGATTCAGACCTCTGGAGAGTTTGATTGCTGCTTAGCATACATTTTACTTCTAGTTTCAAGATCCGTCACATTTCTGTAAATAGAAATCAAACTCATAATATGAACTACAGTAACTACCTACATTTACCAGTCACGTTGCAAGGATAAAAAAAAGATGCATAAAGCTGTTTAATTAACGTTGAGTCCAAGTGAGAAACCAGTGACCTTCTCCACCTGCTGTCTCTGCCACTCAAAACATCTGGTAAAATAATGGGCCAGTCCTCAACTGCACTGAGTAGTTAGCCATAGTTCTGCTCCCCCCTTCCTGAGGCTGCCAGGAGCCAAAACGTCCCCAGGTGTAACTTAAAGCAAACTGAAGACCTAAGTAAGGGCAGAGACCCCATAGAAATTGCTCTAATTGTCTGGGATCAGTTAGAGCAAGGTGTGGTCCAGCCTCACCACATATACGTTCTTCAGACATGCCCCTACGTGAAGGTTGGGGAGCAAGATACATAGAGCTATATCAGCTTTAGGCCTGAGGTTTCCCCTATATGAGAGTAGCTTTCTGGCTGCTTTGTACTATCTCAGGGATTTATAGTCACTGGAATAGGGGTGAGGATCGGGCCCACTGTATTTTTTTAAATTTTTGTGTAATGTCAAGTTTATTTGTCAAGCATTTGGTAATAATTTTTTAATTTAAGCTGCTCTATCTCAAGCAATTTATTTACATTAAGAGAAAAATTAAACCAGTCCATTTCTGTGATAGGATCTATTAGGTAAGTTGATTTTTCCCCTACAATGCTTAAGTGCTACTCTAAAAAGTTTTCCTTAAGCGATTACGGACACAAAATAAATGTGTTGCATAAAAGATGGTGTGCTTGGCAAGTACTTGGCTTCAGCAGCTCCCTAGATTTCAGTTGATTTCATGAGGTCAGGAATTAACTGCAGCATAAGCAATCGAAGTGCATTTATATGTATTAAACAATACGCATTGAGCATTTGTGTGCCAGGTAATGTTTTGTTAAGACAGTCAAATAAACCCCAAAAGAAGGGAGAAATCAGAAATGGGGTTGCAGTGAGGTGTGATTGAAGTGAGATGTTGTAAGATGGAAGAAGTGAGCAGAGAGATATTTGGATAACTTATAGTAGGGAAAAGCTCTCTGCTATCAGCACTTTCTCAGTTATCAAGGCTGGGAGATATAGGAAAGGGAGGAGTGAACAGTGCTCTGCATAAGCACTGAAGTAGACACACATACGTATATGGGGTTACTGTAACACCAGCACTAGTGATTTCAGATACTGGCTTGGCTCAGACTTATCTGAGTTTCACATAAAATCAGTGGCAACCAGTAAAATACAAAAGGAGTTACTCAGATCAGAAGATTTCAGGTGCTGGTGGAGATCCTGCTGGACAACAAACTATTGCAGAGCCTGTGGACAGCACCTACAGGTACCCTGCAAGGATGTATGCTTTAGAAGCGCGTTAAACTAAAAGTAATACTCAGAAATGAACATCTCATTAGCCTTGAGGCATTAAGGGCCAGATTTTTAAAGGTGTTTAGGTGTCTAAAGATGCAGATAGATGCCTAGTTGGATTTTCAAATCACCTAGGCACCTAACCATCACTGAACTCAATGGGAATTGGGCACCTAATTCTGAAAATCCCACTGTGCACTTGTCTGTGCTTTAGGCATCTCCATACCTTTAAAAATCTGGTCCTTAATGTCTGTAGCATCAGGTACCACTTGGTCAGTAGTGCTCTCATTAAAGTGCCCCTTCAGAAATGCATATCGCCACATACATAAGGGTTCTCACAGGTGGAGTGAGTAGATATATTGGACTGGCTTGTTCCTTCCACTTCTTTGGATGGAGGGGACCCAGATCCCCCAAGCAGGGTGTAAAGGGAGAAGCCACAGCTGGTTAGCATCATCTCCTGCTCATGTGTAAGCCCTGTCATGGGTGTGTTATGTGATTCAACCTCCACCTGTGGTGAGAAAGTGGGTAGGTGCTAGGTATTCTCAATGGCACTATCACGTGGATCCCTGCAGGGCATCCGAGAGCAACTGCTGCTTGGGCCAACATACAATAAATCCCTACCTGAGGGAGGATTCAGGAGCAGCCGCCAGGGGAGCTATGCTGGAATGAGAAAGCTGGGAGGCAATAGGAAGATTCTGGTCTTCACAGAATTTTTATGAAATTCAAGACCGTGGGGCTGAACCCTCAGGCAGTTTTGCAAAGGGTTTAAGTGAGACGTATGTGGTGCATTGGCCTTGTGCAAGCCCTGTGCCCAGCACTGAATTTCACCCTTGGCTCCTAACTTCACATGAGCACTGTGGGTGTTGGGAGGTTGTTGAATCTCCATTGCTGGAGGTTTTTAAGTGCAGAGAAATACCTGTCAGGAATGGTCTAGGCATACTTCATCCTGCCTGAGCCCAGGGGGATGGAGCAGATGACTTCTTGAGGTTCCTTCCAGTCAGGGCTGGGTCCAGGCACTAGCGCAGCAAGCAGGTGCTTGGGGCGGCCAACGGAAAGGGGCGGCACATCTGGCTCTTCGGCGGCAATTCAGCAGCGGGTCCCTCAGTCCCTCTTGGAGGGAAAGACTTGCCGCCGAATAATGAAGCAGCGGCGGTAGAGCTGCCGCCGAAGTGCTGCCAATCGTGGTCTTTTTTTTTTTTCTTTTTTTTTCACTTGGGGCGGCAAAAATGCTGGAGCCGGCCCTGCTTCCAGCCCTACCTCTCTATGATTTTATAACATTCTGTGTATTTTGCAGGTGCTGCGTCAGTATCACATCAACCTGACTGAGGAAGAGTTTTTTCACATTTTGGAATTTTATGATAAATCATTATCTTCAAAAATGTCCTATAATGATTTCCTCCGGGCATTCTTGCAATAGGAAATGGAAGGTGTCATCAAATGCAAGAAACTATAGATAACAGAGCTAATGACTGATTTATAATTTCTAATTAATAAATTAACCAACTATAGCTTTTCTTTTTGCATCAGCAATCTCAAAATACTTACAATTCTGACAAATACAGTGGCCATAGGTTGTAGAGCAAATCTACATGACAGAACTATTAATATTCACATAATCCATTTATCTGAGACCTTACAGGCATCTGCAAAAGAAATACAATTAAGAAAATATTTTTTGTAATTAAAGTTTTATTAATTAACCCCCCTTTTTAATTTCAATAAAGATTTGAAAGGCCTACTATTCACTTTTATAAGATATAATAGAAATAATACATTTGGAAAATTATATAATCCTTCATTATTAGAAAATTATCTGCTTTACAATCTCTTTCCTCCCACTTGATCATGCAGTGACATATTTAGATCTCCAGTAGCTTTATATGTTGACATGGAACAGCTATTATACTCTGAAAAGACACACTAGCTGTGCCTTGACGTGTCATCTTTTTCCAATGAAACCTTTCCCCATAATTTTCCCATATTTGAACATAAAAATGGAAGTTAAAAATAAAATTAGAAAGAGCTAATTTGCCATTCACTATTGTATTTGTCACTGCAAATGTGGAAGTGTATACCTCTAACTTGCGTCTCCTCATGTTAACCCAAGATTTATTTTTATGGATTTTTATGGATAAACTATTTTTCATAATGTATAGTGCACTAAAAGTAAAATATCCAGTTAGATTTATTGGTTTTGTGAAAGTGAATAGTTTGAGCACCTATTAGAAAATTATGGGGAAAGGTTTAAATGGAAAAAGATAACATGTCAAGACACAGCTAGTGTGTCTCTGGTATATGTAGATTTTAAAAGAGAAATTAAAAGATAATTAATTTGGCTGCCAATCTCTTTGGTAAGCAGTGAACTTATGATCAGCAGGTTCTGTTTTCTGGGCTTATATCAAGACTCAAATGGGTACATTCAGTAACTATTAGGACAGTACATCTCTTTGTGGCATCTTGGATCTGTTCTCTGCCACTCGGTCATTTTCACTAATCTACTGAAGAGCTCTATGTCACCACAATATGTGGTGGCTTTCCATGTTTCTTTGCTTTCCTTCAAATAAAAAATAAAGTTATTTTTAAAAAAAGAGAAAGAAACCTCTCAAAGAACAAGTTCTAGATTGATAGGTGAGTCTCTTCAGTCATTGTCTAGAAAGTGATCAGTGGTAGGATGCTTGAATGAAGGCATAAAAGGTGCAAACATTTTCTATACCTAACATTTTTAATGCATTTATAGCAACATCTTAAAAAGAGTTGGTAAAGTAGCACCAAAGATTTCAATACAAAGCAGAGTAACTACTAACTGGGGTAATGCACATCCAAACAATTTCTCTTTCTTATTGCTGGTGAACTTGCCGGCCATTACTATGGGTCTGATCCAAAGACCATTGAAGTCAGCTGAAAGATTCCCACTGACTTTAATGGGGTTTGAAACAGGCTTTGTCTGAGGAAATACTTAATCTCATTTGAAACTTCAAAGAAGATGTTTGGTGGATTTTAAATGAAAAGTGTTAATGAGACTTGGGGTTGTTTGGCTTTGGTGATTTTGGTTCTTGATCTCTCATATCAATATGATCTGTATTTTGTTTATCACACACAGTTCAGGAACACTTGTTATATATTCAAGGAATGATACTTGAAAATTGATACACTTGAGATAGTAACACAAAGGATACTTTGTTACATTTTCTTTGAAAAGTATTTCCCACATATAAATCCATTCAATGAGAACTGCATTTAGTGCTTAGGTATATAACTAGAATGATGTAAGGGGGTTCTCCTCTACCAACCCAATGTGCAAAAGTTCCAAGTTCCATTTACAGGTAATTTATATGGATTCACATAAATAAAAGAATCTAAAATCCATTTAACCTTTTTATCTTTAATTTTATTCTGAAAACTGATCTCAAGACTTTAGTTTTTTACGAATATTTTCCACACTTAATGTACATCAGTCAATGAAATTCAAATGCAATATACCTGTATTGAGTTGTGTTATTTCTATGCTGTTTGCAGTTGTAAAAGAATTAATTTTCACCAAATTTACTATTTGGAGTATACCTAAACAAAGTATAATAAAAATCAAAACTTGGAGTAATTCTTTTGGAAGTAGGGATGTTTCTTTAGAATATATTACTAGTAAGAAAAGAACAAAACTAGAAGTTCAGGAAATTTTCTTTCGTGTTCCTAGGATGGAAGTGTGATAATTTGGTCCGATTTTAGATCAAAAGCAATACGAACACCTCCATCTCTGTGCTGCATTATGGCATGTAGCACAGCTACTGTGATTCATGTCAGATTCAGGAGTCATCTCCTTGCTTCCAATCATCTCAGGATCTCTGTTGTCTTCAGGAGAAATGGCTCCAGGAGGGGGTGTCTCAGGATTTCTTGACACTTTATGCCAGTGTATTTTTCATTAGTGCTACTGGCAGGAAAATCAGACTCAACAACTCCAAAGGGATTAAAGAACAATCTTTTTGCTGTAAAAACAAATCAAATCATGCTGGTTTTTTTAGTGAGTTCTTAAAGGCATGGATGGCATTTGCCAACTGTTTATCCAACCTCAAAAACAAACTGAATTTCCACTGCCAGCATTTTGAAATAATCTGGGTAAACTGCTACATACATAAACTTTGCAATAGAAGAGGGTTTGCTTTCTTTGGTGTTTTTTTGTAACTATTATCAGAAAACAATGGTCAGCCATTCAGCAATGATTGACTGGCACTGATTCCATTTGTTTTCGCTAAGAGATAGATAACGTCAATGGAGTTGTGAACATTATCCCGTGATAATGGTCTCCTGCTGCTACATGTAAATGCTGAGGCAAAGCCGAAGCAGTTATGAAAATAAATGTCAAGGCGAAGCTCAGAAATTTATTTTCAAAGCAGAAGACATTGATCCTGTGCCTGTTACAATATCTTTACTTCTTTTATGCCATCGGCTGTCACTCTAACAGCACCAGTATCAGCCTGATAATGCTACACTGATTGCTCCCTGTGCTATTATTGACCTGCTGCATCGACTTGCTGAGGTGTTTCAGCCAGCCAGAGTAGCTTGCCCATTGTAATGAGTTTTTTAAAGTATCCCCCTCTATAAAATATAAACTTAGTTCGTAGGCTGAAGTTTTTGGGCTTGAGTCTGGCTGTAGCAGTGCCTCAGATGCTCTTCTAAGGCACAATTCCCTCTCTGTTTCTCCCTTGCTCCTCCGTGGATGGCCTACACCAATAGTAAACTACCACTTCCTTCCCTGCTCTCTGTGTTGCACCACTCACTCTCGTGAGTGATTGGGAGGTATGGAGCAAAGGCTCCACCCATTCCCTTCCCCTCCCAGTTTGCCTTCTCCAGTGAGGGAATAAGCAGGTGAGTAGCTGCATTTACACCCACCCAGGTAATCTGCATAGGCGTGGTAGGGTTCTTACTCATACTTGCTTGGGCACATTGTCCAAGTCACAATCTAGCCAGTAACGTTTACCTTGCAATAGATGGTCATCCAGCATCTGATCGGATGAAGAAACCATGATGTGCTAGGTGCTCTGAAGTGCTTAAGGTAAGTCAATGATGCCCATTTCAGTTAGTGGGGCTGATATGTTCTTTGACAGCCACTTCTGGACTTGTGTCCTCTAGGCTCTTTTTGGAAATCTCCCACCATTACAGGTGCAGCTCCACCTGTGGCAGCAAATGTGGGAATGTCAGTGTAGCCCAAGCTCAGGCAGCTACTGGTGTTTTCACCACCATGACATCTAGCCTTGCTCAGACAGGTCTAGCAGATATGGCACCAGTCCATACTAATACTCCACCACTGCTGGTCCAAGGGCAGGAGACTTTCAAAAAAGGAAAGGCTTGGATGGACAGAGCCTTTGAGGCTTGTCCAGGCAGAACATGAAGCTGCAAAGTCATTTACTGAATTCAGGTTTAAAGCAAATAGGAGATTTTAAGATGTGTTTTTCTTTCAGAGGACATTTTCCAGGCCCCATGCACAGTTTGACTCTTCCCCACCCAGGCCCTTCCTAGACCATCCCAGAAGATTTGCTGCAGTCTCTCTCTGCTGCTCTTGAACTGGACAGAGAAGGTCTGCTAGAAACTGATGGGAATTCCCTCCTCCAGCCAGCGGGTGAATGTGCCACCTCTGCAGTATAGCTTTAATATCAATATGAGTTTATTTTTCCTCATTCTTGTCTCCTAAATTGTCTGAAGAAGGCGGAAGTGACTGAAATTATAACCAGTGCAAAGGAGCGTAATCAGACCATTGTTCGACTGCTCGTCCATCCACCAGATACCTCCGCTTGTCCTATCGATGTGTTCTCCTATCTGTTAAATACAGGCTGAGGCACTGAATGTGCGCCAGATTGCAGCCCCTATTCCAGAACCTCCTGCTGAGGTTCTGGCTACACTTCTCCCCCACACTTGTGTATATTTGCACACCCTATCCGTGGCCCCACTAAGTCGAGAGATCTCCTCATCAACCTCCTCCTGGCCCTAGCTAAAGTAGCCATCTACACCACCAGGAGGAAGATGTTAGATAAGGGGGTGCTCTGTGACTGGAAGGCCTATTTCCACTACTCCCTGGTCTCATGCATCTGGGCAGAGTTCCTCTGGGCAGTGTCCGCTGGCTCCCTTGATGCCTTTGAGGAGCAGCGGGCGCTGTCCAGGGTTCTCTGCTTGGTGTCCCTGTCAGGTTCCCTTCGTTTAGCCCTGTGACCGCACTTCTGTCCCTGTTATATCTTTAGTTATCCCCTGTAATTAATTGAGATCCTGGACCTTTTGGATCCTCCCCTTAGGCTGAGGGAAGTCCTTTAGCAGTGGGCGGGCTTCTGATCCCAACAGGCTGAGACACAGAATGCAGAGAAAAGACTCATGCATTGGAGAGTCTGAAGGTGATTGGTCTCTGCTTATTCAAGACTACCACACAGGAGGAAAAAATATTTAGATATACTTCAGTAAACCAAACCCCAAATATTGGCTGAAGGGCTGAGCATGCTTAGTAATCAGCTGCTCTCACAAGGGAAAATTCACCCCTATGTTGGCAGATGGCACAAGGAGTCAGATTCTCAGTTAGTGTATATCACTATTGCTCTGTTGAAGCCAATGAAGTTACATCAATTTACACAAACTGAGCATTTTTAAGGCCTATGCAGCTCTAAGTGGGAACATAGCCATCATCCTGCCCAGTGGTGAATTTCACACACAGTAAGAGTCCAGGAGAGCTGGGCTTTTATCACCCTCAGACAGGTTTCCTAGCTAATCTGCCAGGCTGGGCTTTACACTCCCCTGCCTTATGCTTTTCCTAACTCAAGGGAGCCGTTAAATCAAGAATTTAACTGTAAACATCTGTTGCTCATTAGCACTTCCTCAAGTTCACCTGCACTGCTCTGCTTCTTTATAAACCCTGTCCTCAAGCCAGGTGGCTGCTATTGTAAACAGGGGCCAGAATAGTGAGGAGCAAGGGAATAGTTTTAATGGCTATTATTTTTAGCTGGATATGGGGCTTGAGTCCTTTTAGAACAGTACCTTAGTGAAAGACAGGAAGGCTACCTGTAGGAAAATATAAGCAAGCAGGGATGGGTTTTCTGGGCTAAGAGAAAGGGCTAGAAGGGAAATAGGAAATTGGGGATGAGGAAGAAGTAGGAGAAGGGAATTCACACAATCCATGCTGATCACCCATTTCTCTCTTATGTTATTAGCTTTTATTCAATTTTAATTCTAAAGGCTTAGCCTGGACAGAGGAGGAGATACAGCATGTTAAAAGCTTGTACCTGGAACACAGCCATTTCAATTCTGTTTGGTTAAAATACTGAGGTGAGCTAATATAGACACAATTACTGTTTTTAGCTGAGTGATATACATTGGGTCACATGTTGTAAGGGAAGTTCCAAATGCTGCAGAATGAAAATCAAATCAAAAATATTTTTTTTAAAGAAAATCTCTTTGAGTTTCTAAACTTTTCTATGCCAAAAGCTGTCATGCAATAGGAAAAGCATTATTATGCTGTGAAAAAGAGACACAATACAAAATTCTTTTTATATCAATACTTAAAATATGCAAATATGATGTCTTCACACCGCCCCAAAAATTATGCGTGGCATGAATTCTCAGTAACAATACAAATATCATCATCTTCAAATAAGCAGGTATAACATGCTGCTCAAGTAGCTGTAAAAACAACCTTATCACAGTTCCAGAAGCATCCATTTACTATTAGCACTGCTCTAGCAGATTCCATCCTTTGATGCAGGTAGTTTTTAATAGGAATAGAAAGACAGGGAAAACAAACAAATCCCTGTTAATATCAACAAGTATTGAGGTCAGCATTTAGAGGAACTGCTGCATATTTAACCTGATCTAGAAAGCAAGCTGCTAACGTGTGTGTGTGCATATATATATATCCAAAGAAAAGCTGAGTCTCTCATTGTCCAATAATAGATTATCATTAGTTCAGAACTTAAGTGGATGGCTCAGCTAGCTGGTGAAATCCTTTTGCAGTGTTAGGGTTTCTTTGCAAGGTACTGGGCATGTTTTAAATACTACATAGCAGGAGCAGGGTGGATACGAGATTGAGTGGCTCTGAATTTGTCAATGCGTGAGCCTGTTTGCAGCATCAGCCACTTATGCATCCCCAGCCAGCCCCTTAGCACTGATGCCCCATTGGCTAATTGCACTGTTCAACCCAGAGATCAAAAATCAGAAGAGAAATCAAAATAAACACATGAGATTTATTATTTCCAACCTGAAATATACAGACAACCTGCTCCCAGTGCACACCCCCTCCCGTCCCAGCAATGTTCATCATGGGGCCAATGGCAGCAACCTTGGTTCCAGAAATGAACAAGAAACTTGCAGAAAGCATACCAGGGACAGAGAGTGCTGCACTCCTGGATTTCCATCCAACCAGCGCTATGGTACTACAGCCTTGACTGGCCCATTGCAGAGCTCTCTGGTTTTTAAAGCCAGGTTTGTGAGGGAGTGAACCAGACCACTTACTTTTACAATGTAAAAGGCAAATACTTTTGCCTTTTCTAAGCATTAATTCATGTTGCCACTGGAAAGCTCCACTGCACTGAGGAGTGTGCACACCGCCGTGTGTACAGAGGC